AAGTCTGCAGTGACCTTCACAGACTTCCGTCATTTGTTTTTTGATGGGAACGAAAGGTTTGGGACTGCCAGGCATGGGAAACACTACGTGGTTTTCTTTCACGTCACGGGCTGACGTTTTGAAACCCAAGTGATGTGTTACTTGTGAGACCATCCCAATAAATTTGGCATGTTTAACATTTTTAACAAATTAAAGACGACAGTGTGTGACATAGCATTTTTTTCCTTGTGACTTAACACCGAAGAAAATTTTTGACTAGAAGGGTCGCCTTTATTTGGTATTTTTGTTCAGGGATCTGTGGAACTGCGGACACTGACTGGGTCTGGGATTTGCCTGGAAATTTCAGAAGCACAAGGTTTTCCGGTTTAAAATCGATCAGACAAAACAAATAATGTAAAAATTATATTTCGCTTCCAATGAAAAAATCTGAAAATCCGGACAAACAATATTACTAATTTCTAGCTTATTGATCGCCATTCTCCTTTTAGCAATTGTCGTGCACCCCACCTAGCGTCGTGACAGCGACAGTCGAAATAGGGGTTCAAAATTCAAGAAGGTCGTCCAAGAATAAAAATGTTACCCGCCAAAAAATTGCTTAAATAGCTAGCAGATCAAAACCCATAAGATGGGCATAACAATGAACAACAAACTCTGCGATGATATAAGAGTTAAGAAGACGGTTTACTCGAATAAGAAACCGATGGAAGCTAGAACGACAAGTCTTTCAAATAAATCCCTGTTACACCAACTATTTGCACACACCCGGGTGTCCTACCCGAGATTGCACAACAGCAATAATTATTATTATAGCAGCCACACTAATAGGAAAAAAAACCTTATTGGACCCTGAAAAACCCTCACCATTTGAGTGTGGCTTTATCCCCTTTTTCAAATCTCGAATTCCATTCTCTCTTCGATTTTTTTTATTGCCATCATTTTCCTAATTTTTGACGTAGAAATCGCAATCCTCTTGCCCATTCCAATGGCCCCCCTTCACATCTCCTCTCATACCTGATTTACTATATCATTTTTATTCATTTTTACCTGGATCATAGGCTTTTTTCCCGAATGGAACAATGGGGCTTTAGAATGATCCTCCTAAAACTATAGTCAAGTATAACATTTGGGTTGCATTCAAAAAGTGCCTTTGGCTAGTTTTAGATAAGAATCCAAAACTATAGGAGAAAGACTTTTAATATTTTATTTGGTTCAAAGACCCTTAGCCGCCTTCGTCAAGGAATTTGCATCTAGTTTCGACCTAGAAGATGGCGAACATCGCCATAGATTGACTAAATCCAAAAAAGGAGAGCCTCTGTTAAAGGCTGCAATGAATAATTTCTATTTTAGGTGAAATAGCAAGCTTCTAGCTTGCGCTCCAGCGCATATCGTTGTCGCCTCTTTCCTTGTGGTGTAGTTTTAACACCTTACAATTTCACTGCAATGAAAAGATATATTCTTGGAATGTTTCCAAACAAAAGTTTTCTAAGCAGCTTTAATGCTTTGCTTTACATAAGCTATAGAAACAATAAACATAAAGAACCCCAATAAAAGAAATAAAAAGTACCGCAAACAAATAATATTTATAAGATCAATGAAATCTAGAATCTCTTGCCCCAGCTACTGCAAAAATTTCCCCTCTTAATCCTTTAGGGTCTAATTTCTCTCTCCACCCTGCATCCCATTACTTTCAAACTTGCCCACTAACGCTAAGTCCCACCAACAAAGGAAATTTAGTGGACATAACGACCAAAAATCATTTTATTCTAGAGTAAAATCTTATTAAACCCGAATAAGAAAATATAACTGTTCTTCCCATTAACAACTCTAAAATGAACGATAATAGAAGACCAACTTTAATTTTAAAAAATATGAATTAGTATAAGACAAATCTAAAAGCAATCACCTAAGTATTCTTCCACCAAAAATACCCCCCATGGATAAAACTCTGATTGGATATATTATAGAAGCATTGTCTCTTATTCTTCATATTACCATAAGATACCGTCCTCTAAAAATATATTTAATTAAACGCACACTGTACATTATTGTAAGAATAACAGAGCAGTAAGAAAAAAGATGTAAAAGAAACTCCTAAACCTACGTCGAAACCTCTTTCGATAATATAATTTTTTGAGTAAAAAGCAGATAAAATTGGAATTCCACCTAAGGCAAAAGAACAAACCCCCAATATTATTCTGGTCCAAGGCATGAAATGCCCCATAACATTTAAATCCCGTACATCCTGTCTCCCCCCATATTCATGAATAATTCTTCCAGCACAAAGAAATAGACAAGCCCTAAATAGTGCATGAGTTAATAAATGAAAAAAAGCCAAGACACAAAACCCAGCCGCTAGTGACAGCATTATTAACCCTAATTGGCTCAAAGTCGACAAAGCAATGACTTTTTTAAGATCCATTTCGTAAAGAACTCCGATTTTAGATATCATCATGGTAAGTGCCCTGAAGAAAAAAATGAATTTTATTGCCCCAACAGAAGAAATAATTGGGTAAAAACGAATAAGCAAATAAACTCCAGCAGTTTCAGGTGTTGATGAATGAATCAAAGCTGATAGAGGAGTTGGAGCCGCCATAGCAGCAGGAAGTCAGGCAGAAAAGGGAATTTGTGCCCTTTTAGTTATCGCAGCCAAAAGCACAAAACACGCAACCACTATAATTTTTTTTCCGCTACAAAATTTATAAAGAACAAAGCTAAGATCCTCCATAAATAATATTCAGCCTATGGCTACCAAAATAGCTCCATCCCCAATTCAATTTCTTAGACAGGTAATCATATCAGCTCCATATGATTTAAAAGAGATTTTAATCTAGTATTCCAGTTTTACTTGGAAAATTTGTTGATGATTGGTGGGAAAACGAGTGACAATAGGGCTTCTTTGATGTTTCTTATAGATATTTATGGATTGGAAAGAACTTTCTTTATAAAACACTCAGGAGGCTTTATAAAGGACCGAATTTGTGATCTGTATCGGATGCGCATGTTGTGGTTTCAGTCTAAGTTATAATATAACATCAACAAAATCCGTCACTCCACTATGCTGTTATCTAAAATACAATCGTGTTTATTTTAAATGCAAATCTATTGATGCTGTTACCATAATAATAAATTCTCAACCTTGCTCATAATACGTTAACAAAGGATTTTGGAGGCATGAAAATAAATTCGCTTCGTGAATATCCTCTACAAAGAAATAGAAAGTAAAGACGAAGCAATTTACAGTAAATATGATTTTCCAGGTCCTTGGTCATAGAGGAGCATGTATCTGCCAGGTTAAATGTATTTAACTCGTTGGAATCTGGTACGGAAGGATGGATATTTTCCTTGCTGTCAGCTGTAAAACGAAAGGCCTCGCATTTGTCGTCCTTGTCTTGGAGCCTGATCAGCGATTTGTTGTAGCACTCGCGCTCCTCCATGAAACTTGTTATGTAGAAATAGAAATTGAGCATTATGCAGCCCTTGTCTATGTACTCACGTGAAATGCAGTCTTTCTTTATGGTTTTACTGATATTTTTGCACATAAATACATTGCCATATTCAGAGAGTATGTGTGCCAAACCTCCTATGCATTTTTCATCCGTGCAAATGCAACAGAACACTGCAAGGCATCTTTTGTCGCAACCTTTTTTCAGCTGTCTCTCGTATAATTTTCTCATGTGGTAGAAGTTTTGGCACACTTTTTATAGCTTAAAAAGGAGAATTTTTCATTGCATGTTTAGAACATATGGCTTGTTTGGAAATAGAAAGAGATATGACTCTAGGCGATTAAAACAGTATGCTGCAATAGCAACTGGCTCTTTCACGACATAGGTATGTATTCATGGAAATTATCGGAATCGCGGAGATTTCACAGAAAAGACTCTCATGATTTTTCAAGTTTTTTGCAGGAATGGACGACCCCTTTATTTGATTAAAAAGACACCAATAGTACTTCGCATTTGTACATTGTAAACTATCTTTGTAAGACTATGAAGCTAGGTTGGCTGATCACTTTTTCTTGGTTAAACCCAAACAACATACACTACCAAAGGCACAATGAATATCACTACAAAGTAGAGACAACCCCTATGAAACTGCCGAATAATCTAAAACCAATTAGTACAGATTGCCGAATAATCTAAAACCAATTAGTACAGATTGCCGAATAATCTAAAACCAATTAGTACAGATTGCCGAATAATCTAAAACCAATTAGATAGTTACACCCAGCAAATACGTTCAGAGCTTTTTTTTAAAGATAGAAGCCTCATATTACACATGCGAACAGTACAAGATTAAAAGTTATTGCAAAGAAAACGATAGAATCATTTATAGTTGCATGTCACACGATAAAATACTTTTAGAAGAGTAGATCCAGTCCCCTTGGATGACTACTTTGAAAATCCTCATATAAATAAAAAGATGTTCGACAGTGTTACTTAGGCAATGGATGTACTGGGAGACTATTTTCACAATTTAATTTAAAATAAAAAGAAACGTTCATTGGAATAACATTTGTTGACTGGCTAAGCAGAACTGAGATTATAGCGCTAATAAACCTGTTTCTTAACAATTTACAGCTAAAAGGAATATTCTTGCTGCCTTATAGCTTAGCAATAGCTGTATCAAGGGGAATAAATTCAACTATAGCCATCCAGGTTTACGACTCATTTTACTCTGCAGCCCATGTAGATGAGAATTGTTTGCTTAATAAAAGAAGATTTTGAGTGGAGGGTCATGATTTCAAGACTACGGATGAGGAGTACTTCGTCGAAGAATTTTCCAAAAAGCCGAGTGACAACAAATAATCAAATTTTTACTTGTTGCAAGGTTTGTAAGCTGGAGGAGCTGGAGGAGCTAGAAGAATGTGATAAAAAGGCACTGAGGGGTATAAGTCTGCTATCAATGCCAGATGGTTGCAAAGATTTTTGGCTGACTGATGGTGAATGGCAGGATTTTGGATTGAGGATATTAAAGGAAAAGGTTTTATTTTGTATATGAGACTGGTGTTTTTTGTTAGGGATTCGCGCACCTTCTGTTTAGTTCTCCTATTAAATAAAATGTTTTATCAAAAACTCCCATTCTCCAAAAACTGATATGAGCTACAGACATATCATAAACAATCTTTTCACTATTTTTGGCGAGAAAAGTAATAGTTCTTTCTAGAGCATAATCCTAATATACAAAAAAAGGATGTCAGAAAAAGGAAAGCAGATCATAGATGTTTCTCCACAACGATAAAACGGTATCTTAATTGTGGTGGATATTATTGCAGATCTGCATGCAGAAAGCCTTAATAGTTGATATGAGACTGTGAAGAAATGGATATATTGGTCGCAGGAAAACAAGAGCTTCCTTATTTTTCTGACGAACGTAAATGTAACATTTTCCAGTTTGGCAGAAAGGCCAATATATGGCGAAATAATGGTGCTCGCTATGAAAATAAAAATTTGGTTCCCACCATTAAGCATGGTGGAGAGAGTATGATTATTTGAGGAAATACAGATCTTCTAATCCAAGTGCTGGAGAGCATCTAATGAGCTCGATTGAAGATGGGCTAAATATGATAGCACCATCAGATTGTGATAGGTTCTTTAGAAAAATGTTCGTTAACATAGACAGGTTTCTAAGAAGAGATGTTTTTAATGAAGAAAGTTTATTTTTGGATTTTTCTTTTACAAATTGGTGAAAATATTATTCATGATGTAACCTAAAATAGAAATCATTTATCTTTTTGCGCCAGAATGAATTGGAAACCCTGTAAGATTTATTCTCCACACAAGCTTTCTATTTACCTTTTTCATATATTGCAAAAAATGTATACTATTAATAAGTCATTTCCAAGGCAAATCAAAGAATGACTCTAAGATGAGTAGCTAGCATTCTTCATCCAAAACATTTCACTGTTGAGCTCAAATAGAGGTATTTGAGTGGACTTCTTTGATATTTAACATTTTTAAAATTTACCTTATAAGTCACATTTTCTAGTATAAATTGAGCTTTTTAGAATCTGCATGAAGAGGATGGTGGTTTACTTTTGTAATAGGTTCATGAAAGAGCTCCCTTGCGCTGAGAGGATGTCTAGATATTCGTGCTCAATCTAAGGTGACGTACACTCACGGAGGCTTCTTTTTATATTTGACCTGATCAAAAATATGGCATTGTGCTCTCTCAAGCTTTGTCTATTTAACAATGTTATAATGCCCTCAAGGTGTGAGGAAGGTGCAGTGGAACTTGACTTTGGCAACGGAATCACTGGGAGTTACAGTGAGTGCACATTGGAGAGCTTTGGATCTCTCAGAGCACACCTGCCCTGTCGAAATAACTCAGGTGCTGGAAAACCTTCAAACGTAGTTTCCTTCCAGCTTACAAGCAAAGAGAAATTTGATACTTTCATCAGTCTTTGTTCAAGTCTTTCAGTGAGTACAGGAAAGCTTACGGATGATGATTTTTTGCTCTTTCTAAAGCTTGCAGATCACCTGCTCGATAGATCTGAGTATCTTGGGATTTTGTGGGAAAATCTGACAAAATGTAGACGTCTTTCTGGAGATGCTGAAGTGGAATCAATCCACCAAAGAGAGCTTCTGCTGGTATTTTCACAGAATGTTTGCCACAAATTCGGCATAAAGTTTCACTATGATAACAGTACAATTATCTTCCACTCTGATGAAATGTATCCGCTTCGTCGTGAAGATGACGATTTCATACCAAAAAAGTTAGTTGTGTATTCATCAACATTAGATAATCTAATTTCAAGTGAAGCGAAATCTTCTTATCGTAAAAAGTCGATATTTTCCATGTTTGGGGGTCTGTTGTCTTCAAGAGAGGGTATGGATGTATATTGTTATGATATTTTGTGGGAAAAGTTGAAAAGTTGAATATAGAAGATTTTTAAGTTAAAAACGGGTACACGGGGCTTGACAGGGAAAAACACCTTCAGATGCTCAGCAGATTTCTAAATATCGCGACACTGAGAAGTGTTTCCCTGAGAAAAATCTGTTTTGCAAGTGGACTATTTTCTGATATTCGTTTCAGCTACTGCTTTTATAAGGGAATTGCCGAGTTGGACATTTCGCAAAATGTTTTTAGCGAGAAAGATATGGTGGCAATGGACAGCTTTGAATCTCTGACATCCCTGAATATATCAGGCTCCGAGTTCATGGACGCTTCTTTCAACCCGGGTGGATTCTCTGAGAAACTATGCTCCACACTACTTCACCTGGATTTTTCAGACAATGAAGCTACTAACGAGTTCATAAAGTTGATAAGAAAATTCAAAAACCTGGAGGCTTTGAAGATAAGGAATTGCTTTAGTCTGAAAACACTTTCTAAAAACAGTATACCGCTTTTCTTGCCCAGACATTTTTCTTTCCTAGACATCTCAGAAAATTTCTTGGACGATCACACGCTGGAAGGGCTTGAGAATCTCAATAATCTAGAAACGCTAGACTATTCCTTTAGTAAGTCTCATAAACACCCTAAAAATTGTCTTCCAGAGTATAAGAATCTTTGCACGAAATTAAGCGTGTTGAGGCTTTTCAGGCATTGCATTAACGAAAGTTTGTGTGAATTTATAGGTAGTTGTAATAATTTTAGGGAATTGTATTTTAAAAGTTCTCGTATTCATCAGTACCCAACGAACAAAAACCCTATTTTCATGTTGAATGGCCTAAAGAATTTAGGCTTGAGAGGATGCCTTCTGACAGAAAGCGACTTGGCTTCTTTAAGGGAACTCAAATGTCCAGAAAAGCTGGATATTTATTACTATAACGGAGTTGAACCTTTTTGATGCCATCTCTGTGCTGGGTTCCGAGGATGTTAAGAAAATGAGGAAGCTTGAAATCGGCTTCAATCACTTAAGCAAAGTAGATGAAAATACTTTTTCCGAAGCTAGGTATCTAAGCGACTTGACTCTGGAACTTCCAGATCTTTGTGAGAGGGAATTTTCGTGTGCCTTGTTTGGCTCTTTAAGATCGTTGGCGTCTTTAAAAAGCCTTAAGATCACGTCAGATTCTTTTATTGACCATTCTTTTTGTAATTTAAGTGGCCTAACAAGCCTAGAATAACTACATTTGTATGGATATGCGTCAACACTTGGAAGCACTGGGAAAACTGAAAAATCTGCACTAATCCATCACGCACTTAGAATTATCTGTGGGCCTGTCGGATGAGAACACAATAGCATTTGTGGAAAAATTTTATAATTTAAGGGTGCTGCAACTACAATGCTATAGGTTGAGAGAAGGAGGTATCTTAAGAGAACTGGTGGAAAGCAAGAAGTTACGAAATTCGCTAAGAGAGCTGTTCGTTTCTGGCTCCAATGTGGATGTAGATAAGGGCAACAGGGATGAGCTGAAGGATCTAAAAGAACAAAGTATGAGAGGAAAACTGTGCATTGAGTTTCATTACAAAGTATATTAATCTTTTTCAAGTCCGATCCATCCATTTGCGCGGCAACCTCTAATAATTTCTGTTTGATTAAAAAAAACTTTGATTTGGCGTATTCAATATTTTTATTTAGAGACAGTAGCTCTTTTTTTAATGCTGCAAACTGCTAAAATATGCTTGAATTTTTGGCTTTGTGTGGACTTGTGATCTTTGCGGTATATAATCAAAATAGCCGGTGCAATTTGCCACCAAATCCACCTTAAGAGCAAACTTAGTCCAGAGTAGATCCATCTACTTCACCCGAGGGGAATCCTGGAAAAATTCCATCCAAATTACAAGAGAGTGTCTGTGCAAGAAAGGATGGTTGGGAGAGATCCAGCGTGTCTACCGCTCAAAGGAGGGAAATTAAATATTTATGAAGATTTTAAAGACAAGTTGGTTAAAATTGGGATTAATGCAGTGGAGGTAATACTTAATGAAAAGAAAGAATTTAAAGATTTAGCGATATCGGATAAAGAATGGAGAGATGGAAAAGTGTGTCTCGTGAATCCTTTTAGTGGAAAAACATCGCAGAACAAGCTGTGATTTTGTAGATGATGGTAATGCCAATTTTGTCAAAAAGCATGGAGGTGTTTATGGTGGTAAATATAATGACAAGTGCAGAAATTTAAAGTATCCAAATGGAGACCCATTGATACTGATGTTGAAATTAATGGCAGTGCTACATTAGAAAGCGGAACACTTTGTATCTCTGATCTTGACAATGGGAACAAAATATATCATGCAGTCCTTGCAAAGAAACATATGCTAAGGGGAAAAAGTGGTCCAGGCGATCTAAAGATGTAAAAAGTATGACTCGTGACTTATATACCAGCATATTAAATCATGCACAAAAGGAGAATATGAGAGCAATTGTATTACAAATAACCACTGAGTCATCACATTTGGACATAGCCGAAGAAAATAACGGATGCGAAATAATTGGACTATGTGATTTTTTATTTAATATTTGCCAAGTAAGGACTTGAGTATTATTTTCAATATTTTGGAAATCGGTCAAATTAGAGGTGGATTTGATGGAGATTCTCTTAGAAGTTAATCTGATTATGGCAACTTTTGTGGCTCAAAGGACAGCTTGAGGTTAGATTGGATCAGAAGGAATAAAAGGTCAAACACGTGAGAGTTGAATGAACAGTCATGATAACAGAATAAAAGTCTTCTAAGTCTGAAATTTGTAGCACTAGCCTATTAAGGTCTGGGTACAAAAGCAATATTTGTGATTCTCAGTATTAGGACAAATAAAATGTGTATGAACTGGTGTATTCTTTATTTTTGAGGAAAAATCCTCGCTCCCTCTACAGGGAGTTGAAAACCTGGCTTCTCTGGCGGTGTCAGAGCTTCATCGAATAAACTCCGAACTGTAGCTACCATCCGAATAAGGTGATAATACCCATTTGGCCTTGATTCCAGGTGATTTAAATAAAATACTACAAATTTCGTTACCAATATGCAGTTGATGTCCGGAACGCCGCCCATAGGCACTCCCATTTGGGATACACCAAATTCAGTAGTTCCCCTGGAGATGAGGCGGCCTAAACTGCTGCCATTCATACTCCAGTTGCCCTTGATAATTGCATGTGTGTGGCTCCCACTCTGGTTCTTCCTCGCGAAAAAGCCCTGCAGCGAAACCTTTGCCTCAATTATCTCCATGCCCTTGCACGGGATGTACATGCAGATGGCAAGGATTCTCCACAGAATACAACCGACGACTATTTATTCCATTTTTGCGCGAAGATGAACGGGAAACTCCATATAATTCCTCTAGTGTTTGTAATAAAGTAACCTTCCACTGGTTCAATATGTTATATTCTTGGAGAAGTGCAAATTGATCATCAAAACAAAACCGAAGCCAAAAAAATTATAATAAACTTACTTCTTATAAAAATTATTCCATAAAAGATGCAAGGATACAACACTCTTGCTGGAACAACATCTCATTTTCAATATTTTTCTCAATCCTTTCTAAATAGGGCCCGAGTTCAATATGAAAATATTCTTAATTAGAATCACCCTAAGAACATCAATGAATATTTCTCTGAACCCTAAGATAAACCAATTTCCTGCGATTAATTCAAGTATCAAAATTAAGTCTCTCGGTGCATGGTCATATAGCACTTGCACTTGATTTGGAACAGAACGATTATGAAAAAAACAAATCGTTCTGTTCCAAATCAACTTTTTCAAACTTATTTTTTGCTTCCAATAAATCTACTTCCATTTCTTTTAGTTCTCTTTTACACTTTGAAAGGTTATTCTCCAACTTGTCTAGAAGAGCTTTATTTGAAATGTTTTTCTTGCCAATTTCCTTTATCCTATTGTCAAATTCACTCCTTGTAGCCAAACCGTTTTCTTTTAGCCTTTTGATTTTTTCAATATTCAGCTCGTTTATTTTCTTTCTAGACTCAAAGAACCTTAGAGACTCTTTCATCGCCTCATCATTCTCTTTCTTTCTGTTTTCAACATATCTGAACTCTTTCTCATAGAATTTAAAGGCTGTTGCCCTAGAATCGTTTTCTTCCCTCATTTTTCTCAGCTTCTGACCTTCTTTCTTCAATTTCTTTGTTGAGTGAAGATGTCCCAATTACCTCCTCCAAGTATTCCAGTATCCCCACCTTTTCGTTCTGCGACTTGGGCTTCATCATTGCTATTGATTCTATTTCCCCCTGTAATATCAGGAATCTGTTGTTCTCCATGTCAACACCTTCTTTCAACATGAAACTGTGAATTTCGTTGCTCGACGTAGCACATCGGCCTTCTCTCCGTGTCCCTGTAAATTAGATCCGTTTGCACCGTATGTCTCTTTTTTTTTGCTCGGAACCCAAGAACAAACAAAATCGAGTCAATTATATTTGATTTTCCTGATCCATTCGGTCCAACAACAGCGGTGAAGTGGTGATCCAATCCACTTATTTCATGCTCACCCTCAAAGCTCTTGAAGTCCTTCATCTTAATGCCTGTTATTCGCAGCAAATCCATTGGGGCCCAAACTTTTTTAAAACAAAACTCTTACAGGCTCCATCCCCAAGGCAAATTTTGTTCTTTCATAGCTAGGCCCATGCGCTCCTGACTACGTTATAAGAATGCTATCAACCAGCGCAAACATGATAGAACATTCTGGGCTCAGTAAAAGTATCAAGAAGGCATATTGAAGCTCCTTTTAATTATTGTCAAATACCTGGGTGTCGAAGAGAACTTGGCATATCCTTTGATAACCTTATCAACCGCAGCTATAAAGTCATTTTCTGTCGCTATCTTCCTCCTTTCTCTTATTGCAAGCATCCCTGCTTCGGTGCAGACACTTCTCAGTTCTGCTCCTGTAGAATTGGGACACAGTCTCGCCATTAGATTGTACCGAATGTCTTTTGCCACACTCATTGCTCTTGCATGGATCCTAAGAATCTGCGTCCTCCCATCTAAGTCAGGCAGTCCAAACTCCACCTTCCTGTCCAGCCTCCCCGATCTAAGCAAAGCAGGATCTAGGGTATCTGGCCGATTGGTTGCCATCAAAACCTTTACATTCCCCCTTGAATCAAAACCGTCCAGCTGGTTGATCAACTGCAGCATAGTCCTCTGCACCTTATTTTCACCACTGTCCGCAGTCCCATTGATGCAAGGAATTGTGATCAGCGTCGATGTAACACATGTCCAGTGCCTTATGTGGAGATATATTCGGATAGATTGAAAGAGCTTAAAAAATGCCAAGTATGCCGAAAGTGCAGATGTGTCTTTCTGATGGATTTTTCAATTAATGAACATTATTCACAGAAATTGATTCTACTACTTTCTCTTAACCGGCTTTTATGGTATCTAGCATTAAAAAAACTTAAATTATTCATTCAAAGGGCCCACTATTTTCATAAAAATACCTCGATCGAGTCTGCAACTCTGTCCGTTTTTGGCACATGATAATGAATATCTTGTATAGAAGTTGTTAATATAGAAAAATCGGGGGCGCGCTCAAAAAAGAACACCTCGACAATGGCAACGGTGGGAATCGAACCCACACCCTCTAAAGAGGACCAGGACCTGAACCTGGCGCCTTTAACCACTCGACCACGCTACCTGGAGATCGCCCATTTTCTAAATTCTTACAGGATGCTTAACGTCGAAAACTTGAAAAATGATAAGAGTATTGGTCTGTTTTATTTACTACCCATATAAACAGCAAAAAACTCCCAGAATATCAGAGACCTTCAGAAGTTTATTCTGGCAGAGGCCCAGTCGCCAGAGAGATCCCTCTGGAAATTTCCTAATCACAGTCTAGTTTATACTAAAGTTTGATTGCTGCAATGTAATATACCCTATTACTTGCATCCAATAGTCGCCCACCCTTTTTTTCGTTAGATTTTGATGCTTTTCCAGCCTTTGATCTAGAAGCAGCTTTCAACTTTTTCATGCGCATAAAAAGCAATGCCATTATGATGGTAACATCAACAGTAGCGGCCATCAAGAATATTGGACGTAAGATGCCTATTTGGTTGTAGTCTAGTCATTTATGCGGAAAAACTCTAATCTATTTGATCAAAACGTTCAGAAATCTGATATCCCATTAGACTGTTAATTTAGTTATGGAAAGTTATGTGGAAAAGATGGCCGCGCCCGGAGTGGCAGCTGGTCTGTGCCCTTCTTCAGTTCTGTTTTTGTTTTTAGTCCTTCTAAATCTGTTTCCCTTCATAAGTGCTGTAAAACGCCATCAATACACCAGCGATGAACTTCAGGCCCATCGAAGTTCCGCACCAAGGTTCCTACCCCCTGACATTTACTCATTTGTTTTGAAAGTTGGAATTCACAAGAAGAAAAAGAAGCGCGGTTCTAGAGGCGGACTTCTCAAGAAACTAGAATTCTGCGATCCGAAGCGACTCAAATCCCCTATACTCTTGGTGGCAAACGCTCAAAGTCTGTTTCCAAAGTTGGATGTGCTACGCGAGCTAACTCAAAGACCATCGTTCAAGAATGTCAGTGTCATATGCATACAAGAATCCTGGTTTGATCGTCTCATGCCAGACGAAGCAGCAAGCATCGATGGATTTTCACCCCCCTTCAGAGCAGACAGACGACACTCCAAAAAAAGAAGAGGTGGGGGAACTGTTGTCTACGTGAATATAGACTGGGACTCAAAACCGGTGCCTATCTCATCCATCTCGAACGATCACCTCGACCTGGTGGCAGTGGAGTGCAAAGGAAAGTGTATCATTGCATCCATCTACATACATGGAGAAAAATCCACTTCGAAGCAGATCGCTGTTGAGACCATCGGCGAGCTCATCGAAAGGTATGCCGACTCTCACCGCCTCTATATTGCCGGGGATATGAATAGAGCGTCATTTCATCACATTAAGCTGGCCGGATGCATACAAAACATCGTTCACTTTCCGACTAGACAAGGAGCATTTCTCGACCAGCTTNGATCTCAAGTAGAAATTGCATGTAAGAAGGCATTCTCAAGATCATTCTTCGCAGTACAGCTCCTTCGATCCACCACTGGAAGCCTTGACGCCATTCGTAACTTTGTGGATGCCTGCATCTTGCCCGCTTTGCTGTATGAACTTCCAATCTATGGGGGTCTTCTATCGAAGGAAGCCTGTGGTCTCTTATCTAGGACACTCAAACGTCTAGCCCAAGTATCTGGAAGACCTGTTTCCAAGTACAAACAGAAAGTACTAAACCAGATACAACTTACAAGAGACACGTTTCTTGCCAACCTGAGGAGTGATGTGTCTCACCCGCTGTCATCATACTATTGTAGATGTTTTCGCATGGGTGGAGTCCAAACTCGAAAACAGTTTATATACCCAAAAGTGAGAACTACCAAATTCAAAAACAGCTTCCTTATGAGGGGGATCAGAAACCAGCGTCCTGTAGAATTGTGACACCAGTATATTTTGTTTTGTTTTTGTGTTTGTGCTGACGGGCCGAACCAAGGCTAATAAAGGGTCATTTCAGGGTCATTTCAAATCATGTCCTTTAGACAAATAAAATAATTTTTCTACAGTGTGCTGGATCTGAAGGGAGACATTCCGTATGTTTCAAAATTCTTATTGGATGGAGCCGCTGCTGATTCAATACATGGTAAAATTTTATCTTTCGACCGGTGTTACAACAGCTAGTCAAGGAAATATGAATTCGCTGCAACAATGTTTTAATAGTGAATCGAAATCGCAGTAATTGCATTTATAAAAAAAACTATAATATCGGCGAAAAATCGCAGACACTAACATGTGACCAGATATTGTGGTATTTTTGGGAATTAATCCTGAATATTTGAACCAATGTCTTAGATAAAGTTGTGCTTTCTTGGGAAGCAGCTTTGAATAAGAAAACTTGTGATGTGATTTGTTCGTGGCCTCTTGCAGAGTTCAGAACAATTGGCACTGAAATTGGGTTTAAATGTGGATTGGAATTTTATGGATTTACATTAAATTTCTGTGCAGACGTTGACTTTTATTCATTCAGTCCCATACTAACAACAAACACTAGTTCATTAGCCCCCATGGCTACTTCAAAACAAGCACACAAACAACAACAAATATACGATGACTATTACCGTGCCCTAAAGGACCACGAAACCACCCAGTGCTTCCTAAGGGATCAACACAATATCCTAAAAGAAACAAAGGTGAAATTTCTCAAGACAGAAAACGACGTCCAGTCGCTATCAACCGTTGGCCCAAAAGAGGTAGGTCCTAAAGAAGTTGGACGACGAGAATTTTATAGTGAAGACCAGCCAGGGAAGAAGATACGTTGTTGGATGCAAGGCGTCTATTGATAGGTCTCTTATCGTTTCTAGCAGCAGAGTGGCCTTGGACCTGACAACTCTGACCATAATGAAAATTCTTTCGAGGGAGGTGGACCCAACTGTCAATTCCATGACGGAAGAATCGCCTGGGGACATTAGTTTTGAGAAGGTTGGAGGACTGAAAAACGAAATTAGAGAACTAAAGGAGGTGATCGAGTTGCCAATTAAAAATCCCGATATATATAAAAGAGTGGGCATCAGGGCTCCAAAGGGTGTTTTCCTCTACGGTCCACCGGGAACAGGAAAAACCCTGCTAGCCAGGGCAGTTGCAGCTACTTTGGACGTAAATTTCTTGAAGGTCGTTTCCTGTGCCTTGATTGAGAAATATATCGGCGAAAGTTCCAGGATGATCAGGGAAATGTTTGCATAAGCAAGGGAAAGAGGCTCCTGCATAATTTTTTTGGACGAGATTGATGCGATCGGTGGCAAGAGGACGAGTGATTCCAGTTCAAGCGACAGGGAAGTGCAAAGGACATTGATGGAACTGTTGAATCAGCTGGATGGATTTAAAGACCTGGAGGATGTCAAGGTGATAATGGCAACCAACAGGCCTGATATACTGGATCCTGCTCTAATGAGGCCTGGAAGACTTGACAGGAAAATTGACATTCCAGTACCCAACGACCAGTCCAGAAAGAAAATACTAAAAATCCATTTTGGTGAGATGGAGAAGGGTGAGGAGATAGACCTTGAGGTTTTGGTTAAATTGACTCACGGATTCAACGGTGCCGATGTAAGGAATGTTTGTACAGAGGCTGGAATGTTGGCACTGAGAGAGGATCGGAACTATGTGATCAATGATGATTTTATTAAGTCTGCAAGGAAAATTGTATCTACCAGGAAGTTGGAAAGTAAGATGGATTACAAGAAGAATTAAACTTTTTGTCCTCCTAAAAGGCTTTCAACACAATTTCGTTGGTTAGAAACACTTCATACTTTAAATATACTTTTATTTATTTATAAAGAGTTTTTAGAGGACATCGCTTATTTAAATACACTCAGTACTGGTGACATGGAATAGCTCTTAATAGGAGCTGCAGGTCGTTTATTTGTTCAATATCCACGAAATTGCAGCATTTAATTAGCTCTTCAATATAATAATAACAGAGATGGTGGTTTGTTCTTTTTATCTCTCGCTATGAAGGAGTTTGTAGTCTCCAATCTTTTTTAATATAGAAAATAGCGGTTAATCACAAAAAGCGGGATTTTATCGAGTACGATAGTGACAAATAATATCACAACTACCCATTTTTAGAGTGGCTAGTTGATGAAAAAATCTATCAATGGCTGCAGCTTGTTCTTCACAAGTTCAAAAGCGTCTCTCCTTTGTTTCGCAATTAGGGATATTAATAAATACACAAATTGCAATTTAGCTGCAATATAAAAAGGAGAAAATGACTGAAAAGGCAAGAATCTGCACACTTTGAAGTCATTCAGCGGCAATAATCATGGTTAAGATGACAATATTTTGTTATCTAGACGACGAGGTCGCGAATGAAAGGGAAACATGGCTCATTGGAGCAAAATTTATCAGCAGCTTTATAAAAAACGAATATTTTGTAAAAATGTTGTGGCCAGTAATCAGAAAGAGCTACGTATCATTCAGACACTTTTTCATAGCCTGTACATAACCTGTACAAAAAGTCGCTCAACAGATATTCAATCAAAGAGTGTCAAGAGGGAAATCTTGCGGCGCACAGCCCTTCGAGATTCGTTACTCATAAAAAAGGACGATCACAAGAATATAATGGGAAATGCTTTTCTCTTGTTTGTTGTCGCTCTTGTGATAGGTTCTAAAATAGTAGACACAGTATATACGAATTTGTGCTGGTCGCAGCTGTGTGCATTGTCGCATTCCAAGATTAGTTCTGGAGAGAAATATATTCTAAACCTCCTTATGTGGGAGATTGAGCCCCATGACGAGGAGTTCATGCATCTACTTCGAGAATTTGAAAGAAAGAGCGGGAATGTTGTAATGTTTGAGTGGTTCCACTTCCAAAGGAGTGGCTTCTTCGGGAAAAGGATAAAAAATACTTTCGCTCAATGCTAAGGTGTCTTAGTTTCCACTAAATTGCAGGACCAGTGTCTCAGAGCAGGCTATAGTTTATTCTCATTACATACATTTTTTGTCCCCGGTTCTTTTGTGTTCAAACCAGTCATCTGATATCGTTGGACATTAGCGGTAGAGGTCCCATTGAAAATCAAAAGCGATAGCTTCACAATAAGCTCCCAGAAATAATACAAACGGATATCTGGGGGGTTTGGGCCTGTCTATGAGCCATAGAGAATTGCAGTTTTATAATAAAAAAAAGTTTATTTGCGTGGAGGAAAGGTGCCATGGCTTCACGTTGATTGAGTGCAGACATCTCACATGTTCGCACAATACCTGTATAAATGACATATCGGCGTAATTACAGAGTTACAGCGACAAAAACTGAAAGGTTCTTGCAGATCCTGGCAGAAAGAGGCGCCATAACTTTTGAGATAAACAGTTTGTATCGCTATATCAGCAAAGAGCACAGCTCACGCAAATCCTCGTGTTCTATCGCCAAAATTTTCAGATATTCCAGGAATTTGTCAAAAGGTATGTTGGCCCTCTCGTCTATTAGCGTTCTACACGCGCGGTCGTTGTAGACCACAATTATAACCTTTTATTTTTCTTTTATCCACTTTTCTATGAAGACTGCACTGGCATAGGAGGGTCTCTCGTAGATGCTTGTCCCCAGTCCTGTCAGAATTGCACTTACTGACCCATCGTGTGCCGAGTAAATATGCATGCGGGTGTTGTTTTCTAAAATATCTACAAGTTCCTTCGCAAACTTTCCAAACAATGTCTTCAAGACTCTCTCGTTTTCGTCAGCAATCTTGGCCTGCTCCTTCCAGGTTTCAGAGCTTGCCTTAAGATACTCCGAAATATTCTTTTCTTTGCAGTCTAAAACATTGCAATTGATCTCAATGTCGTTGCAAAAATGTGTCCAGTAGCTGTCAGCCATTTTTTCAGAGCTAAGCTCGTACTCATCTGATTTTAGATTGGCATAAAGGTCCCTACTCTGTGTTTTTACTACCTGGTCTAAGCTTTCCACTTTTGTGGACTGAGGAGACTGTCATCGTCGTGGACGTTTACATTCTTCAGTGACTTTGTCTTTTTTATGCCATTCATAACCCCGAACAGTGATGGGTGTGTTCTTGGAATAGACGTGGCCCTTATATCTATATACTTTATGTACTCTCCATTTTTCCCCGAAATAGACTCGTACGTGCTCTTGATAAAGCACCAAAGATTTTCCAGTACCCCTTGAGTGTTAGCTCTCCCTCCTTGCATTTTTTCTCGGATCAGGTGTTGATTGTGCGAGACTCTTTGTTGTATTTACACTCCATACATGTTTTCTTCTCCCATTTACTCTCCTTCATGGTGACGGGGGTTCTGTCACCATGCCTGTGAATTATAACAACCTTTTGTATCTCAAATCCAGGCTCTTGCTTGCTTTTCGAGTATCTCGACTCGCAATACCATCCAAATCTTTCCAAGTCAGGGTTTTTCTGCAAAATGTGATATTTTTCGTCGTGCTCCTTCGAGTTTAGCCAGTTTATAAGAGGCCCATGAGGCGTTTTCTTCCAATTCATTCATTCATTCATCTTTACCTGCAAAAACATTTATTATTATTTCTGTTGTTTCAAGTTTAGCTTTGGAAAACGAGACCAGAAAAAGACATATCAGCAACAACTTGTTTTCTTACTGTGGCACAAGTCTCTAAAACTAAAAACGTTGACGGTCCTGCAGTTATAAGAGTGATAGATGTGTCAATCGTCAAACGGATATGAAAAGCATTTGAATGGCGAAAAGAAGAGTTCGGATTTATGTATTTGGTCAGTATTGGCAGTCTCTTTTTCGCTCTGAAAGTGATACAATAAATCTTTCGAGAAGCTGTGATCATTCTCTCAGAAAAATTTCAAGAACCGACACTTGAAACCACAAACGCCTGAGTTTTCATCATTCTTTTGGGAACATCTACTCCTTCATTGAATGTATATCCACTATAGACATCATCATGCAGCGCACCCGATGGCTGCTTACTGACAACATCTTCCGACATTAAGTTGTTCGTAACCCTCCACCAGAAATCTTTAGATGGATTTTCTCTCTTGGCGAATTCAAGGTTTCTTGTTTTCAGAGGGATAACTTTGAGTATTCGCTTCGAATTGTCCTCGCCACTGTTTTTCTTGAGGTCCCCAACGTCATCAACACTTTCTCCCGAATCACTTGAGCCATCAGGCTTCGATTCAAACTTTACACCATATACTAGCCTGTAATAACTGTAGCCTGTATTTTTATTGGTCTTCTTAGTCACCTTTTCCTCATAAGAGCTGGCAGATCTAATGTTTGCCATGAACCTGCATACGTAAACACTGATCAGCGTCTGTGAAAAATATTCCATGCTGGGTCTGAAAATGAGAAATTAAAACACTCAATTTCACTAAGCTCTTCCTAAATGGAAAATGTACCGAAATGTCAACTATGTAAATATGTTAACATTCTTGGAGAATCTCCCGAAACAAAGGCGTATATGTCATAATCCTTGTTAACGGCAAAATAGATTGATTGTATTTGAATAAAAACTCATCCAGGCGAAGATGCTTCAGAAAATAACGCAGCAGGCTGATTTAGAAAAATTTGGGATATTGAATAAAAGTTTTTCAAAATATTAGGATCGGCAACACAAGGGCAGGAGTTTTCCTACATCTAAGCGAGAATGTACCCACCGACTTTTACTCCATCTTTTGATCCACGGATCTTCAAAATGCGCTTGCCGAAAACTTTTGACAAATGCAGGTTTTTTATTCGATACTTTCCAAATGCACATACAAAGCTTCATCCAAGCACAGTTACAAGTTTCCAGCGTTAAATAGACCACAAAACAGTCATACACCATTAAAAAAAAAAAATTCCGGGCGTCTCTTGAAACACCATGTGTCTTAAATCATACAGAGCCATTATCTATGCTTCTTAGGGCAGCGAGTCACGGAGCACCAATTGGTGTATCTCATGGTATCATTTGAAATTTCTGTGTTTCAGATGATCACGAGAAAACTGCGTACTTTGTTATAAATCTTACAAAAGAACATATTTTAATAATTTATGAGAAACAGAAAAGCCAGCAGAATAATTGGAAGCTCCACCGACATAGGAACCAATAAAAGCACTTTTCACAAGTCAACTTGCTCAAACGGCCTTGGAAAACCGATTTGCTATGATCACCTCAATGCAGAATGTGGATGCCAATCAAAGATTAAGCCGGTAAAAGTAGATCAAATAAAGGAGGTATACGAAAACCAAAATAAAAATGCAGAACCTGCTAGCTTTTCAGCAACAAAGCCCGTGGAATGCTCTTACAATCTCAATCCAAACGTTAAAAAGATTGCCCAGTTCTATGAGAGTCTAATATCAGAGCAGAAAAAGAATACAGCAACACAGGACTCATCGTCAAAACGTACACGCACCCTCTAATTACATTCAAGATGATACACTAAAACATTAAAATCGTCAATAAATACTTTTTTTTATACAAAATATGCGGTAGATCGCCTATTTGATACTTACGGACTCTTTGGAGTAGAAACGATACTTCCTAACGTGAGAATATTCAACATCAGGACCATTTCTAAGCGAAATAAAAACACAAGACAAGATGCCTTGGCACTTACATTACAAATTTGAAAATCCTTTTCGAGTTACTTTTTATTTAACAATTCATCGATTCTGAGACGCAGCTTTTCATTTTTCATCGCCAACTCGGCCATGCCTTTGATCTCATCACAATCTGGGTACAGCTTGTACAAATCTTCAAAAATTAGAAAGGGAAGGGCACCCTCCTCAATCTCGGTGGCATCCTCCCTGAACAATCCAACTTCCTCATTAATTCTTAACATCTCCTCCATGTATAGCACTTACATCCTGAAATATTCCGCTGTCCCTGTTCCTGCCCGGTTCTTCCCGTTGACTCTAATGCCCTTCTGGAGCAACGTCCTTGCACACTCAAAATCCCCCACTTCCAATAGCTTGGACCCACAAAAAATCCATAAATCAATCTTTCTTCACATTTTTCAAGCAAAACTCTCCGAAAAAAACTTTCAGAATCTCGTAGAGCCTCTTCTCCATCGCATACTCAACAAACTGTACGAACAGCTTTTCATCCTCCGGGAATCTGTGCAGTGCATCTTTGAAAAGAGAAACAATGTGATACGAAATGGCAGTGTCACAGCGTGTTGACCCAATAAACTTCTCTTTTTTTCAATTGATCTTTCCATTCCTCAAGGCTTATCTCGTACTCTATATATCGGAGATAGTCGAGTATTCTTTTTTGGCTTCGTTGTAGAAGATTTTCATGCATTTTACGTGTGTTTATGATTTCTTTTAGTAGTGTATCTGTGAATATTTTAGTTTTCTGTAGCTTTCTAGTTCCGGGACCATTTTCTCCATGTTGAGTTGAACTTCATCTGCCATCCAACGGTAACTTTTAATTTGGAATATCAAGTCTTGCTGGGTGCAGTCCCCCATTGAATATCAGATAAGCTCCTCTAAGTGTGTTTAAGACAGTTTTACAACTGAAGCATTTTACTATAATTCTGTGTGTATTCCAAGTGCTGAAAGGATATGGTTCGATTTTTTTATGACGTAGCATACCTCGTTGTAAGATAATAGAATAGCAATAAAAAACACCCTAATGAAGCAAGAAGTAAATCCGTACACCTACATGCCTTTAAAATATCACAAATCGAGTTCGAAGCAATGTCATCTTCCCAGATCCAATCACTGACAGTAACAGAAATAATCAAAAAGGAAATATACGACCCCCTCACTAAAACACCTATGGTCGATGGTCCTCTGGATCCAAGATTGGGTCTCAGCCGCAAAAAAGGGACAATGCCAAACATGTAGTGAAACACTTTCCAACTGCTGCGGACACTTTGGCCAGCACAAGCTCGCACTGCCAGTGTTCCACGTGGGGTTCTTCAGGCAGACATACACCATCTGCCAATCAATCGGCAAAAATTGCTCACGTGTCCTAATTGATCCTTTGAAAAAAACTAAAATATCTCCAAACCATAAAAACAGTCTCCGATTTGGGACAGAAGCGCCTGTTTACAAAAATCACAAACGAATGCAAGAAGATCTCCACCTGTTTCTACTGGTGGGAAGGTCAAACACAATGGGAAGGTCAAAAAGGCCCCTGGTCTGAAAATATTTCTAGAAGCGTCTGACCTGAAGGAGGACTTGAATCCGTTAAAGTGTTTGAACTTGTTTAGATGTATTCCTAAGGATGAGTATGTTCTCCTGGGGATCTATCAATCACCAGCGGATTTAATAATTCAGAATTTAATGATTCCCCCCGCGCATATTCGGCCGAGTCTGGCTATGGAATAAGAGGGAGGGTCAAATGAGGATGACTTAACTATTAAAATCAGGGAGATAATTCATTGCAAACAAATCCTAGTCAACTCTTTCCAGAGAGGCAATCCATACTCAGTGATCCTGGAGGATTGGGATTTTATACAGAACCAGTGTGCACAGCTGATATCCCCCGATGGCACGGGAAAACAAATCAAGGGGCTTTTGCAGAGACTGAAAGGCAAACATTGTAGGTTCATGGGCAATTTAAATAGCAAGAGGGTGGATTTTAGTTCTAGGACTGTGATTTCCGCAGATCCCAATTTAGGGGTAGATGAAGTTGGAGTACCCAGACACATAGCCAAGATCCTGACTATTCCCGAGAGGGTAGCTGGCTTCAATATTGAAAGGTTTAGAAAGCTGATCAGAAATGGAGTAAATTATCCCGGAGCAAATTATGTTATAAAGCCTTGTTATAGCACTGCAGATCAGCTAACAGTCGATGACAGCTTGGGAGAATTGACAGTGGAACAGTGAACGGCAAATGAGAGCTTAAAAGGGCTGGCTAATGATGTACTAAAAGAAGTAGCAAGCAGCGCCTTAAAAGAAGCAACGAAAAATAACCTAACAGCAGGTCAATTGGCAGACGGCAAATTAGAAGAGGGGGAATTAGCGAATAGGAAACAAGAAAAACCCGTCAGAAGGAAAGAACGAAAGACGGGACAAGAAATAAAAATGTTCTTAAAATACTGTAACAGAACACAAACGTCAAAATACTTAAGAATTGGAGACATAGTTGAACGACACCTACAAGACGTTGACATTGTCCTTTTCAATCGTCAACCAAGTCTCCATCGAATGAGCATCATGGCACACAGAGCAAAGGTCCATTCAGAAAAAAACTTTAAAGTTCAACGAGTGTTGCTGTACGCCCTACAATGCAGACTTTGACGGGAACGAAATGAATATCCACGTGCTGCAAACGTACGAATCTTGACCTGAAGCCACAGAGTTGATGTGTGTCAAATATAATTTAGTCATCCAAGAAACGGAGAGCCGCTCATTGCAGCCATCCAGGATTTTGTAACAGCCTCTTATTTATTAACATCCAGAAACACTTTCTTTAGTTACGAAACTTTTGGTCAATACGCGTCCGATCTTGAAAGAAAAATTGTGGCAAAACAAATGGTTGCCTGTGTAGGGCAGGAAATCATTTCTGGAAAACGAGTTCCAAGTGGATTTTTTAGAAGAACTCTGCCTCATTTCGATGTCGATTCTAAGTTTCCTAGGGATAAGGGTTTTCTTGCGTCGTCTTTTAGAAGTGGACTGTCTTCTATTGAGTTTTTTTTCCATGCCATAAGTGGAAGAGAGGGTTTAGTCGATACAGCAGTTAATACTGCGGAGACAGGATATATGCAAAGGAGACTCATGAAGGCTCTAGAAGATTTGAGTGTGATGTATGTTTATACTGTGAGAGGGTCTGATAAGAGCATAGTACAGTATGTTTATGGAGAGGAGTGTGTTGATCTTTGCTTAGTTGAGTGTGAAGATAAGATTAGAATGGACGTTGTTTGTGAGAAACTGGTATGTGAGTTGAAGATATTGCACAGGCAGGTGGGCAATGACATTCTGTTTTGTAAGCATAGACAAGAGCCTAAAAACGATTCGAGTTGCATAAATGCGAGAGAAGACTCTACGAATTATCAGAAGGTCGATGAGTTTTTGGAAGGGAGAATGGAAAGCTGTGATTCGCTAGCTATAAGAGACATTTTCAGCACTCACAAAGAAAAGATCAAGTCTGCATTTATGTCTATTTACAAGTCGAAATTAAATATATTGAAAATTGAGCCTGGCTCAGCGGTGGGAGCTCTGGCTGGTCAAAGCATCGGGGAGCCTGGAACTCAGATGACCGTGAAGACGTTTCACTTTGCTGGTGTTGCCAGTGTGAACATTACCCTTGGAGTGCCAAGACTAAAGGAAATTATAAATGCGGTTAAGAACATAAAGACACCCATAATTAAGACTAATTTTGTCAAGAATTGGTGCTTGGAGGAAGCCAAAAGGGTCAAAGGTAGAATAGACAAGATTTATTTGAAAGACATTGTGTCTTCGATGACAAAGATTTATACACAGAAGGAATTGTCTTTGTAAAGGAGAAAGTTTTTTAGGGGGGAAAGTGTTTTATTTATTCACCGAAGAATTCGCCGTCAGGATCCCTCTCGAGATTCGGTTTCCATCCACTCAGCCGGCTGTCGACACCTTCAGAGCTCTTCGTGGCGGAGATGATGTAACAGATGGAAATTATTGCACCTGCAAAATGTTTAGCCGTCATGCACAACAAGTCATATCTACCCATGTAATTGAGGAGGTGAAATTGAAACCCACTTACATGTGACAGTGGAAGGTACACTAGATGGCCGTCGGCAGTTACTGCCATGCGAGGGGACCGATAACCTTCATGCACATCAAGCGGACTACACTGAAGCTGGTGCAATGAACTGCATCAAGATGAAGCGTCCGGGAGAATCCATCCATCTTTGGCGGTGAGTCAACAGAGATTTTTATGATTGCGGGTAAGCAATTTCGTGACAGATGAATGACCTTTTAATGTGGAAATGGGATCATTTTGATGTACCTTGTGATATTCTGCAAAGATGAGGCTCCAGTATTGATATTACCTTTAGCCATACACACATACTTATTCAGGGCATCAAATTGCGCTGTTATCCTGAATTTTAACGGTATTTTAATCGTGGACAATTTGCCCTCCATGTGAAGCGCTTTTATCGTATCGAACATTTGATGGGATGAAAACGCATCACATGTAAAATATATTTATTGTACGACAAGTAGGGATTAATTTGATTCCACTTGTGTAGGTCGGGTATATATGCCTACTTCTGAGGCATCGAAATGTATGCGTACAGACTTCGGTTACCGCCAACATTTATGCAAAATTCATTTATTTTGGAGAGTTCCGAAGTGTAGCTATGGGTCCGTGTTGGAGAGGAAGAAGATGAGCAAGAATGCATTTTTTTCATATTTCCTGATGTCTATTGGCGACTCGAGTTTCGGATTCCCATGCATGTTGAGGAAGAATAACTGAAGTGCATGATGATGCAGAGAAAGGCTTTCACTCAACAAACGAAATGTATTCTCATTTAAAATCACTGCTTGTGAAGCACCGATTCCACCAGCTATACAATTTTCTTTTTTCCAGAAACCCAATGGAAACGTTGCAGGCCATCCTCCACTCCACATCGCAACTCCACATCGAAGCAAATCGGCTTCGATGTGGATTTCGCTCTGGGAGACAAAAGCGTAGACAGTGTCACGCTTGCTTGAGGTATAGAAATAAATCGTTATTTATTATAGTAATAGTAATAATGAACAATAATTATTATAGTAATAATAATGAACAATAACAGCAATAATGAACGCGGTCAACGAGTCAATAATGTTCGCCTCTCTCTCGTTAATTCTGCATTAAGCTTTGATGGCAATGTTGTTATCTGTGTGACAGCGCCTAAATTTAGAATGCTCACTTTAAGCTTCTCATATAAACATATTTACTTCTGGATGCGTAGCAAACTCTTCTGATTCACGTATGAATCCGGACTTGTTGGCTCAAATAAGTTTCAGCAAGAACTTTAATAGAAAAAGTTGAGCACAGCTGGGCGAATGGATGCGATACGGCCAGTTATCACATTTAAAATCGTGAATTGTTTCAGCACCAGGCAATAGTGCTTTCTGTTTTCCAATGTTCATTTAGGGAACCGTCGAAACTCAATCCGCTGGAACGTGGTTTAGGCAGCATGGATTCTTGGCGATGATACCAACTTTTTCCTATATTCAAGTATTTTCAAGTATTCAAGTAAAAAATTTTTTCTATATTCAAGTACTCAGTATGTTCAAGAATTCTCCATAGGGAGCTTATACACCTTTTTTTTCGTTGAGGGGTGGCTATATTTCCTCAGCAGTACGGAGAATGTGGCCTCTTGGGATCGACTTGACATGACCGAAAACTAATTTTTGCAATTTTTTTTGCTTTTGTCTGGCTAAAAATAAATAAAGGTGTCGTTTATCAATAGTTTCCGAATGTTGACGAAACCAATTTCGACGAAACCAGAATTTGACTATGTGGGACTATTAAAGTCAGATTTATCTTTCTATGCCTAGATTCCCTCAAAAACACCCTTCGCAACATAAAAAAACCTTCTAACTGGTACAACAAATCCCCTATGGCATTCCTGATTAAATTATCTTCCAACTAACCTTCAATTTTCTCAGCGCCTCTTCCCAGATTTCATCCGCATCAGCCCATTCCCCATTCTTCAGGCTGAGGACGGTCAGCAGAACCTCCTCCATGGTGAGAGGAGTCTCCGCGCTGAGAGGCTCCAAGTCGGTTAAGGCAGTGTCAACTGTTGGCGGGTTTAAACAGAAAGTCTTCCGTCTCCGAAGTGTATCCGCCTCGACGGCCAACGCCCCCCGTTTCGATTCTTCGACAAACCAAATTGCCTCCCTTTGCGTAACCTTCGGATGGGTTGCCGAAGCACTTTGGTGGCAGGGCCGTTTGGCCGATTCCACGTGTTCGACGAATTTCTTCCGAACCTCCTGCTTCGCTCCGGTCGCAGCATTCAGCGTGCCTCGGTCAATAACTATTCCATTAAACTGATATTTATTGGGGGAATATGTGGGGAAATTCTGGCCAGATGAAGCTCATTTTGATAAAATATCCATCCACGATGGTGACATCTTATGCACATCCAAAGGAAGCTTGCATCTGGATTATTATTCATTATCTGGACAACCAGACTGTCTTAGTATGAGTTTCGGCTCAATCATAGCTACTTGGGCCGATTCAGGTAGATATGCAAGGACCACTCGAGATGGTTTCTCGCATATTATTATTAAATATTTGGTATTGGGGCGCTCCTTGATACCGCGGCAAAAAAAATGTTTCAGTTTCAATGGACACACGAGGAAAGCAGTCTGTAATCGTTATAAAGAAAACTGGCATTTCATGAATTATGGGTTCATTCAGCCTAGAGGGAATGATTGACAGCTCATTTCAGCGCGGTAGCCTTTCTTCCACCTCAGCAATTGACCCAGTCGGGGTACTCCTTCGGCCTGCATTTCAGCGGGCACTCCTTCACTAGCGGAGCGTGTCTGGTGCCCGAGCCGAGCCAGAAGCCTCCTTCCCGACGGGTCGGGTAGGGTCTCATCGCCCCGCCGACGAATTCGTCGCAGGTGAAGCTGGCGTGCACCATCTGCAAACGAGAGGGTGGATGGCCTTCGATGCGGTTGCAGCCACTAGAAGATGGACGGGACTCACAAAGTGTTCTTTGGCTTCGTTCCACAAGACGTAATGGAGAAGATACTGGTCCAAGCCCTCGTCATTGCTGGGTTTGCTCTCGAAAATCATTTTTCTTCCCTTATAGTGGACGAAACTTCTGTTCTGCGACACCTTCGCGCCCCAAAGACCTGTTAAATTTCAAACGTTTGATATTTTAGAAAAACAGACTAAGAATGAGTTAAATTCTCGACAGGTTTTTTTTCTGTTTTAAGTTGCCATAGTGGCGCCGTTGCTCAACATCGTCTGACAGGTACCCGGAATTTAACGCAAGTCCCGCCATAATGAATCCATGGGTGCAACGTAAAACCATTCGTAACTCCCTAACAGCCTCATCCTACGCATCTGAATCAATCATCAGCACCAACCGACCTCAATGAAGCAACACAAAGAGGGATAACGTCGCCATTAAACATTGCGAGTAAGTTTGCTTTTTAAATTCCTATCCGGCATAGGGAATCATTTGAATTTCCTCGTCGCACGTGACCTAATATCCAAACTTAACTTGGAATGCCGGTATTTTCCTGAATTGTAAATTTTAGATGATTGCGTTTCACATTCTTTCGATTGAACAGTCTCAAAATGTTATGAAATCTTTATATGGACGTATGAATAATATTTTGTGAATTGTTCCGGTTCTTCAACGTGAAACGATGACATAAAATCCATAAATAAGAAAAAACCCAACAAAAGAAAGACATAACGAAGTAGTGCTTGAAGCTGCAGCCGGGACGAAGTTCGTTAGAACATTTTATTCGCGCCAATTTCTGTCTCGGTGTTGGGCAAACGAGGCACATAAATCAGCATCAACCAGGTAAGAAAAAAAAAAAACCTCTTCCAAGTCACTCTTGTTTCTTGGGAGAAAGCGGCTCACCCGCGAAGACAGGACCGTGGTGAGCCGGGTGATCCTTCATCGCGTGGAAGAGGTACCCGGACTCCATCCATTCCTTCACGGCCGCGGACTCACGCTCGGACACCGGGGAATCAGAGTCTCTAACGAAGAAAAAAAAGAAAGATTAGGTGGTGCTGCAAGAAATAATTCGGCCGCAATTTTCCAATGGTACAGGGTGGGCGAAAGAAAAGTCGGTTATCTTTACCACCCCACAGCGCTGACCTTTCAACAGTTTGCTAAAATTCCAATAGTGATTCCGTGAAGAACATTCATTCGACTTTCCAATGATGTCAACATAAAAGAACTCGTGGTATGACTTTCATGCTGTTGGATAAATAGTGTACGAGCTGGCGCTTAAAAAGTTGGCGCTAGAAGAGGTGGGGCTAGAAAAGTTGGCGCCATGTCGCGATGGCAGCCTGTGCATGCGGGGGTCGCCTACTCGCCATCGGCGAAGGAATGGACGACACCTGGAGTACATTCCATGTTGTACAGGTGAGTGCACTTCTCAAGTGTTACTTCTGTTACATTCAGCGTAACTGCATTCAAATGACATATTTAATCTGACATCTACAGCTGTGGAAAGCTAGATAAATGATTTATATAGAAACGCTATTACAATATGTTTAGACTCGACAAAACTAGGCTGTGAAGTGTCAAAGATAACGAATTTTTTTGGCCTACTTTGTATTATTTTCTTGAGGTAAAGGAGCTTTAAATTAAGAACGAACTCTGATCACCTTAGACATCTACTGGGTGTGACATACGTTTTAAAGGAAAATAATGCATTCACTATGCCGCATTAGTGATTCTGCTGAATTTAATGTCATCATGTAGCGAGTTGTTATACTATATACTATGCGATGCTTACAAGAAAACTGTCTGCGTGCATTCGTTGCAGAATAAAGTCGCGCAAAAGCGAAAGAGCTTCTGCGGACTGCGGCCTCACGTCGCCCGAGTCCAGACGATCATTTCCACGTGGTCTTTCTAAACAGGATGGAGCGACTCCACACATCACGAATGTTTCCCAGAAGTGGTCCACAACTAGTTGTTTCGCTCGTCAGATGCAAACAGACGACACCAGTCGATCGGACCGGCCAAGGGTCGACCCTATGCACCGATTCAAATTCAAACCGACAAGGTCATCTCCAAGGACGTGGAGGGGGGGAGGGGTAAACCTTAATTTAATTCATGACGTAAGACATTTTTAAAGCAGAGTTAAGGCAATTCTTTTGGAGATGGTATTTTAGCATTTGCGGAATCCCTTAACCTAAAATCGCGCTGAAAGTGTTCATTGAACATTGAACATTGAAGTGTTCATTCCCTTCTCCCTTTCGCTTTCCCCATCGCCCACCCGCGATTCCAATCTCGGCTTTCCCCCTATGAATAACTTATGAATCCGCCCGGGCCTTTGTCACATCCGTTCATCGATACGAGGATTATGCGAGTGAGTCGATCCCGCGCAGTTTTGCATAAGCACGCTAGGGAACCCGATAGTCAGGTTCATGGGGCTCGCGAGTACCATTCACGAAGCTTATTCGACAGTATATGGCGATTACCACTGCGCTGGGCGACGCTCAGTATGGCCGTATCCATCCGTAATAAATCAGACTTAACGGGAGATCTTTTCTGCCTGATGATCTGGTCCAGGTGAACTAGCCGCTACCGTAGAGAACCGGGATCGCCAATGGTGTCGGGGCGGTCGAGTTTCCGCGATCACGAAAAGACGGCGAGGTCGAGGACGAGGAAAGCAGTTACCACGCGTCCATCCCCTGGATGCACGCGTGGCTCACATCCCATTCCCCATTCACCTCCTTCAAGTCATCTCAGTCCGCACGTCGCTGCCGATGCGAAGCGGTGGATGCCCTGGAGGTTCCGCATCCGCCGCGAGTCGACGTCGGAAAGCGTCGTCGCAGTTTCGCGGGTCTCGGCGTCCCGTTCAATTCCTGCGCGCGCCATTTCATCGATGAATTGCTCGGCGGAGGCTGCAATCAGCGTGATCTCGATCCCTCCGATTTCAGGAATTACTCATGCCCTAATAGGTGCGAGCCTCTCTCTCGAGCGAAAGGGGAGCGGAGCTCGTGGACTCGTTTCACCAGGAGGATTTTTTTCGGTCCATTCCCGGGCTCGGGATCGTCCTGGGTTGCCTTTGCACAATGGCAACTGTGTTGGGGATCTGTCGCCATCTCGTTTCTGAGTCTTCAAGTTTTGTTTCCTCGATGCCTTGAAAGATGTCTCACCGGCTGATGCAACGTGAACAGGTCGATTCGCCTCGCAACATGGAATTCTTCAACATTGCATGAAACTCGCGTCGATGACGTGGAAATCGGGATGCGAATCGCGTTCACCTCCGAGCTGTTGCTCTCTCGGTGAACTTTCGTTCGATTGAGACCGACGAGAAACGACTGAATCTGTCAAAATTGTGGCATCTAAACCTTAACCCACCAAAATTAATTCTGTCACGCGGCGAGTCGATCCTCCATCGTCTCTTCCATGCCAGAAGGAACGGAAGGAACCCCCTAGCTCCCAAGCCGAATTGGGACAAATAGAATTCGTCCGCCCCATTGCCATGGACGTGCGCGGGGCAACCACGCCATCATCGATCCCCTCGCCTCGGACGGGGCAGGGGGAGGCAGGGGGAGGCCCACGTGGACTTTGGACGGGGTGACCGGGCGTCGAACACACTCGAGAACCGAGGTGAGATAACTCTCTTTTCTTTATGAGTTTCGAGTCTGAGGAGCGGATTGGACATGGCACGTTTGGAATTGCACGAGATTCGAGTTTGTGTCCATTCCCATATATGGTAGTGAAATCAAGTTCATCCAGGATCAATATATTTAATTAAAACACTAACTCCCTAGTTCTAACCGTTACCGACGCTAAATTTAACCATGTTCAAGGGATGTTAGAAATCTGAAACTTATGTACACATGTATACAATATGTACACATGTACATATTGTGATGCAGAGTTCAGAAAAAAAAATCCTTCCTCCGAGGTAAATACCCTAGGTACTCCCCTATTGGAAGGAACTTTTTTCGAAGAAATATGTTCGCTTCAGACAGGGAGACATATAAAGCTGGAACTTGGTATGGGCGTGTCTACTGAGACGCTCAGTTGAGGGAAAATGTCAAGTTTCAAATCCATGCCTTGGGGGAATATTTTTGTGTGTAACGTTTTCAAAACATCAGGGGAATGCTTTCGACTGCAAACTTGCTAGGAAATATATATATATATATTTTTTTTTTTTTTGGGGGGGGGGGGAACGGGTTTTGGACATCCTCTGTATTTGTTGACTCAGACATAAATAAAGCAGCGTGATCACAACTCAAAAAACAGAGTGGGGTTGGAATTTGTAAATGCTTGGAGAAAAGACGCACCCAAAAAACCAATGCTATATTCTGTTCCTCGTTGTGCTACAGCTCAAGGTCATCACCGAGTCGCTTCTTCATGCGAAGCAACGTTTTCAATACCCCGACGCAGATGAGCCATGAAGATGGAATACCATTAGTCAGAGAATTTCATCGGGTTCGATGATCAAATTCCAAAGGCTGTGGAGAACGCCCCATATTCATTTAGGCGATTTTCTCAAAAGATAACGAGTTTCCATTGAAATTCCTATTTCTTCCATAATCCATCAGTCCATGTAAGGGAGATGGGTCTGCCAACATCACTCGTTAAATGTTTTTCATAACAGCGATGTGGCCTGACTAGGTGGGCCGGGCGTTGGCTCTCAGGAGACAACGAACCTTTTCCCTGGGTCATATATTTTCTATCTCAGGCCCATATTTATTCATGAGCAGTCAGCATGTAATTTCGATACCAACCTGCTCCGATGATGTTCACATGAGGCTCGAGGCCGAGGGAATCCATGAAGGATCCTATCCGCAAAAATTGCGTTGTGCGCTGAGTGCTACTAAGGGAAAGCATAATGAAACGTGGAGGAGAAGCGCCGCATGCTGCGGTGGCCGAAGTCCTCCCCATTATTAAATTGATTATGGCCGTTCAATCCGCGCACTTTGGTGCGATGAACCTGTTCGTGGCACCACTTGTGCCTCTGTTCCTACGACATTCGTTTCTCCCCTATCACCGTCGCCCCAGCCTCTCGAGAAAGTTTCAACCACTAGCCATAGATCCACGCTTCGTGCTTGTCTATCAAATGGAGGCATAATATTTGATATTTGGTAGACTCAAGGGAAATACGAAACCCTAGTGGCATCGTGGAAATTTTCCGATCGTAATTTCCAATCCAGATATGAACAGACAAATGTCCTCGTTTCCGCCTCTCCTTTGGAAATATGCAGCGTTAGTGCATCACGGAGAATTCCAGAGGGCATACAAACGAATGCAGTATTTCACGATTAACAAAGGCGAAAAAGCTAACAGCCACCACTTTTCAATCCCATGCCGACGATAAAGAAACCAGTTGTCCAGCTTGAAAATACCTAATTCGACCTTAACCTCCCATTGGGAACAAGTCACCTCATGCCAGATATTTCTGGATTTTGTTCCCAGAAAAGAATCAAAGGGGAGTCTCTTGAGAGCACCAAGTCAGAAGCGACATCACGTAGTGAGTAAGTTATTCTTCTGTACCTCATTAATGTTAATTCTCCTGTTTAATATTTTTTTAATTTTCTGATTGTGTCCTGCACAAACAACGTCACTAGTCAAGTGTGCGAATTACTTTCTCTTACATTCTCATTTTATTAAGATTTTATTATTGAGATTCATTTCATTAAGATAAGTAATGCGTCTACATTGGAGCAGCAAATAGGCAACAGAAAGAGGGATATGGCGAATTGTGCAATAAAACTAGACAATTGAGGCCATCAATAAATTGAACATTGACACGAATTGCCATTACATTCGGACTAATTTCACTGAACGTTAACCTGGGCTTCAAGGACGACGGCGTGACGAAGCCCAAAATAACGTCTAACCCAGTGAAACCCCCGTATCCAAGCTGCATACTGCAGAGTATTTATCGATGGATTGAAAATGGAAATGAAAAAGGGATATGGCAACTTAATGTGGATTGAAGCTCGACAAGTTGATCCGACGCGATGGAAACCCAGGTGGAGTCGACTCTTTCATCGTCTTGTTGCATGTGGCATGCCTAGGAAGAAGACTTGCCGACTCTTCCCTTGCCTTTTTCCACGCATGCTAAAAGGGGTGTAACGGACGATAGGTAGCTGAGGAGTGTTGCATGCAGTCACCGTGTGCACCTTCGGTGAAGAAAATGATGACTAGGGAAAGAAAAAAAAAACACTGTTGGCAAAATAATGGGCCTGGCCCCGTGATCCCCATCAATAGCTAAAGTGACTCCTCCCCAAGAGCTAATTATTTTTGTTGACTCAACGTCGTCCTGGGAATTATATAGTTAGTATATTAGGCCTTTTGGAGAGAAACTCATAATCAGTTCCTTACTTGTGCATCAAGGAAAACGACTCATATTCCGCACCTCCTGCGTCGCAGTGACATGATGAAGTTCCTCTTATCCCTCGCTTTTCTGTCATTTCTCGAGCAGTCTCAAATCTCGACCTTAAATTAGCAGCTGTACAAGAATGGCATGAAAGTGGTCAGCCCTCTCGCAGGCCTTCAACGAGCGTCGACCATCCAATGCGCCGTTCAATGCGACATGTAAGTGGTTCTCAGTCACTCCTCTCGAATGACTCAGGTTCAGGACTGCCTCGAATGTATCCGCATTTTCTCTTGGAACAGGAATCCCAGCTGCTACTCCTCCCACTCGCCGAACTCCGAAGGCGTCGACTGTCGACTGGCCGAATGGAAACCGAGCCTCCAGGCGGATCCAACTTGCGAGTACTACCTCCAAAAACTCCCAGGTGTCGACTCCAATTTTCTTTAATTCGATTGAATTATATACTTCTCGGGAGAGTTTAATCGCACAGTTTTATGCAAATTCGGCGATGGATGCCATCCAAGATCAACGGAGTTCTGACTCATTGATGAGGACCAATAAAAACACAAGTAAATTATCTTCGTGATTAATGGAAGGCCTGCCCCGCCGAATGTCGTTGAACTATTTCGCAACGAAAACGGGAAAATCGTGTCTCCCGGTAGTGTCATTTTCAGTGATGTCATGGAAACGAATCATTCTGACTCTTTCGAAGGGCACAAACTGCCTTCTACTCAATCACGTATTCTGTTTTCGTCACGGCTCATCCACTAAGAGCAGTCTTAGCCGGACTCAGACTGCCAAGAATTCGTCCACAGGTTATGATGAAAGCATATTTCATTCAAAGATATGTCGAAGAACAGCGTGCTATACCTAACAGTATGGGCGAAAAGTTATCAAGATTTAGTTCGACTTGTGCAAAGGAAACAATCATGGTACAAACCACGAAATGTCAAGGAACGCAACACACGTGGGAATGCAAAGGATTGTTCGATTTCACAATTCACAAAACAGTCCCGACAACGGATTCGATGTTTCATGATTGCCGTATACAAGGTCCAGGACTGCACCTGCTGCGACGGCCGACCATTTCTTAGGGGAGAAATTTTCAAGCAGAAACTAATGACGGACGAACGAGATCGCTAAGAGAGTCATCCCTTTCGGCTTGGCAAGTTTCCTTTTTTTTGCACTGAGTGATATTAATTTTCGGCGAGAGGAAATATTTATCTGAAATTGTGCTGGTACAAAATATATTTACGTTCTATTCCTTCTGTTCCTTTGATATTCGGTTTCCCCCTCTCACCGTCGTCCCAGCCTCTCAAGAAAGTTTGAACCATTGACATCGAACCTCGTTCCGGGCACGTCTATCAAATTGATGCATTTTTGGCTTCACTGGTCGAGTCCCTCGATGCGATGGTGCTAAACGAGGAGAAATTCAGCGTAATTTTCGATTCATCGTTGACTCAAGGGGAATACAAAACCCTACAGACTCAGGGAAATTATCCGATCGAAATTTTCAATCCGAACTTGGATACAGCAGCATAGAAAAATATCCCCATTTCCTCCTTTCTTTTGCAAAGATGCAACGTAAGTGATTCAAAGAAAATTCCTGAGGAAATCCTGACGAATGCAGAGTCTCACTATAAATAAAAGCGAAAAGGCTATCTGCCGCTACTTTGCAATCCCATACCGACGATAAATATTAAAACTTACCAGCATGAAAATACCTTCTTCGACATTAACCCCCCCACCAAGAATAAGTATCTCATACCAGGATAATTCCGGATTTTTTTTATCTCCAAGAAAAGTGATTAAAGTGTGTCTCTTGGGTGCACCAGGTCATCAGTGACATTAAGTGAGGATTAAGTGATTCTTCTACACCTCGCGAATGGTAATTCTTTAGTTTAATCGTCTATTTTCTGACTACGTTCTCCACATGCAAGGTCACTGTTCAAGTGAGCGCCTTACATCCCCTACAATATTCATTTTATTATTATTTCCCGAAAATTAACTGTTTCCCTGAAGGGATAATAGAAAATGTAAATTTTTTTATTGTCTTACCTTAATCTAAGCCTCGTGCGTCTTGTGTGCTTGTCCAAATGACCTGGCAACGGGCCTTTCATTCGCAGAACCTAAGCCCTCATTAATTATGCACTCTCTTACCTACTGCGTCCATATTGGAACAGCAAATTGGCAAGAATAATGATGGATATGGCGAATTGTGCAATGAGAGTAGACCATGCAGATCATCGATAAAGCAAACAGGGACACGCATCGGCCCTTACCTTTGGCCTAATTGCACTGGAAGGTGACATGGGCTTTGAGGACGACGGGGTGACGAAGCCCAAAATAACGTGGAGACCCAAGATCCCCCTGTTAGCAAGCTGGAAACTGTAGAAACGTTATGGATGGATTTTAAATAGAAACTAAAAAGGGATATTGCAACTTAAATTGAATTCATGCTAGACTGGTCGATCCGACCAGTCGAGCTGTACTTTTGAACACCAGTACTTCTGGTCTCCTGGTAATTCGGACATGGGAAACATTCCCAGCAAAAGTCCCACTGAAACTACAATGGAATATACGTGAAATTAATATTCATAACAAAAGTGATGAATTCATACTCGATCTGGTATTCCGAAGAAAGGATGTAGGCGGCTCCGACGTGATTTAACGTTAATGACTATCACGAAGAGATCGCCAGCGTGTTCGAGGTTTTCAATGACTCCGTTGACTCCTTAAATATACAATTACTTTATTGTGACAACCAGCTTGGATAGAGGTCAATAATAATGAGAACCAGGAAATTGTGACTTCATCATCTTTATAAAAGTACCTCCTACAAAGATGGCTAACTTATGAACTCACTCTGTTAGATTGAATGCAATATTAATACAATTTATGTGCAGTACATGTTTAGATGTACGTTTACCGATATCACCATCCGTCGGATATTCTATTTAAACATTCCATTTGATTTCCGCAGGCACTCTTCTAAATTACACGGGAATCGGACAAGGATTATTCCACCCCACCGAACCCAATCAAGGCCGAGGATGTCTGATGATCGCTGTCTACCAGGCCCCGGACTCCACCTGCTGCAACGGCCGCTGGGCGGATAACGTCTGCACCTTAACTACCTGGAGCTCTGGATTATGCGATATCCAAGTGCTGACTTAAGTCATTTCTGATTGGAGTAATTGTCACGCCGAAACTCAATGCACAAGAGTGAAAAAATAATTATTATTCTGTATATCAAGGGTAATTGGTACATGGTTTTAGGGAGTTTTAAATTTTTTTTCCACCATGTCTTGTCCATTTTCGGCGTGAGGAAATGTTCATCTGGAATTGTACTACTAGTAGAAGTAGAAGTAGCATTGAGGCATAGATAATGATGGATATGGCGAGAAGTGGAAGGATTATCGACCATATCGATCATCGATAAAGCGAATAGGGATACGTATCGGCCATTACCATCGGCCTAATTTCATAGGAATATGACCGAGGCTTTGAGGACGACGGGATAACAAAGCCTAAAATAACCTTGAGCCCCAACGCCACTTGTTTGCCGAGCGAAACGCTTCGGTGTTTGCTCTCGGGGCCCTTAGTGTAACGAGCTGACCTGGAGCTTGCAGCTGCATCCAAGCGGAGGAGGTCACGAGGGGACAACCTACATTTTGCAAGCTGTTAACTATAGAGACGTTATGGATGAATTAAAAGGGAAATATAAATTTAAAATGAAAATGGGAACCTACATTGGAATGGTGTCCCGACAGGTCGATCAGACGCGATGGAAGCCAAGGAAGGGGATGGTGTCGACTTCTCATTGCGTGCATGCTGAGAATAGTTCATCGGTCGATATGTAGCTGATTGGGGTCGCATGTGGTCGCTGTGCAGACCGTTGGTGAAGATAATGATCTCTGGGGGAAGGACGGGTGGACCAGGAAAATATATACAATGTCGGCATAGTAATGGCCATGGCCGCGAGATCGGCACCAGACGCTGAAGCTAATTAGCTTGGTTGACTCAACGTTAAATATGCCAGTTATACAGTAGAGGGAGATTATTACGCCTTCTCGAGAGTAACCTAGTTCCTTCTTTTTGCAACGAGGAACATTCAATTGTTTTTCATCGCTCTTAATTTCGGATATATAGAACGTTCGCATAAACATTCATGGAACGCTGGCAATACCTTACAGGAAAACATTACTGAACGCGTTCGGGTGCTACGGTTTGAAGCTTTTCTTGAAAAGTTTGCTGGCCTATCGCCTGCACGAACAAAATGCCTTGTTGAACAAAAGTTGCCATATTTCACCCTCAGAGTGCCAACGCCGCTCTGAGCGACGCGCGAAGAATCTGCTTAAATTGCCGGCGTCGCTCACAGTGACTCGATGTTTTTCGCCATGGACATACAGTAGAACGCCGATTATCCATTACTCATTAATTATTAATAGCTTATATGATCTTCCGCAAAGAGTCGATAATGAAGCAATAGTTTATCACAATAATAACTACATCATTTTTTAATCAGAATAATGTTTCATGGATACTCCAGTACAGTTGCTTCAATGAACAGATTCAAACATTTCTAATTTCGTTCCTAAGTAATCAGCAGGAACAAAATTTCTCAGCCATGAAAGCGATAGATAATCTAGTTCATCGTTCAAGAAGACTTAGAGGAAGTCTGCAGAGTCTCCGTTGGTGGAGTAACTTATTCTTGTTTTCAATGATTCGTCATATCGGACATATTTAATTCGTTGATGAACATAAAATGGCCTCTTGGAAATTAAAGGCCGGGATGATGCTGCGCTAAACTTTCACTCACGGCCTGAAAATTAGTTGTAGCAATTAAGAAAAGGGTTTCTGGTACGGGACGGTGACGTTATACTGCAACAAAGATCACTGCATTTCGAGCAAACATTAAGAGATTAGGTTCCATGTGAATACCATTCCTAATCCACAATACTTATGTACCAGACCAGGGGCTATTCTACACCCTTGATCCCAATCAAGGCGGATGATCTGATGATCTCCGTCTTCAAGGCCCCGGACCACACCTGCTGCAACGGACGCTGGGCGGATAACGTCTGCACCACAACCTCCGCTTGCTCTGGATATTTCTGCGAGATTCCGATACCGGCTTGAGTCGCGTCTGAGTGTCGCAGTGTGCACCCCCCCCCCTTCCCCCAGCGAGAGATTGATCAGGTTTCAATATTTCTTGGGTATCCATTTGGCTCATGGTTTTGGCTGACTTTCCTAGCTTTTCACAGGATTTGATGTCAATCTTGAGCTTGAAGTGAAGCTCAAATTGCAATTTGCACTTGCTCTGATGATATTTCCGTACATTAAATGAATGTATTGATAATTGCAAGTGTACGTTCAGAGGACTGCTTCATGATACAAATTTGTCATTGTGCTTCTCCCAAGTGCTTACAAAGTTTAGTCCATTGCAAAACACACATGAGGAAAATTGCAAAATAACACTTTTCGAATGACTTCCTCATCACTCCTCCCTTTATTCAATATCCGATGAGATGGCATTGTTATTTTTGCAACTTTCAGTTGAATTAGGCAGGGCAAACACTTTAGACTTTTCAAGCTCACCCTATCTCCGTTTTCTAAAAGAGAAATTGCAGTTCCCTTCCAATCGAGATCGCCCTGATGATCCCAGTCCGAACATAGTTATTGTATTTCGTGGTGCAAGGTAAGCTACACACCTGTGTAGGATTTGTCGTTCGGTTCATTCCAGTTCTCCAGTACTGTTCAATATCGCGTGACCTGCAGTAATATTGGGAATGCAGCCATATAAATGTGTGCATACATATTAGGTCTCGTGGTCCTTTTATTCTTTCCTAATTTACTTCCATCGTTCCCGAAAATTGCTTCCCAAAATACTGATTTCATCATCCTCAGTATATTCTCATCTCAATATCCCATGGATTTCTACAGGCACAATCCTGAATTACACGTCGACGAGCAAAGGACTGTTCTACTCCACGGAACTTAATCAAGACCGCAAGCATAAAAATCTCTGTTGACTCACCGCCAAAGATGGATGCATTCTCCCGGACGCTACATCTTGATGCTGTTCATTGCACCTGCTTCAGTGTAGTATGATTGATGTGCATGAAAGTTATCGGTCCCCTGGCATAGCAGCAACTACCGACGGCCGTCTAGTGTACCTTCCACTGTCACATGTAAGTGGGTTTCAATTTCACCTCCTCGATTACATGGGTAGATATGACTTGTTGTGCATGACGGCTAAACATTTGCAGGTGCAAGAATTTCCATCTGTTACATCATCTCCGCCACGAAGAGCTCTGAAGGTGTCGACAGCCGGCTGAGTGGATGGAAACCGAATCTCGAGGGGGATCCTGACGGCGAATTCTTCGGTGAATAAATAAAACACTTTCCGCACGGAGGGGGGGGCCCCCTCCAAAAAAAAACGTTCACCTTCAGAGATGCACATCAGTAGTATCATTAATTTTTCTTTTGCCTTGACGAACCGTTTTTTCATTTACACGGAGACCTAGTTCGAACACAATTCATGCAAAATGTACACGTTAATTCCATGATGAAAGGAAATCCATGCACTATCCATATATGTACCATGTATCATACCATATGTATCATACCATGATGATGATGATAACGACGTCCAATAATGCACTGGGGAATACTCGCGTCTCCGCGTCGCAGAATGAACTGCTCCAAGGTCGTTATCACAAGGCACGAAGGTTCCAAGCTTCATATCAACACATCTACCGCCTCCGAGTTCTGAATCATTCAACGCATTGGCTCGGAGAAGGTTATCGGAGAGCATACCTTTGGCGCATGGAAAGCTAATCAGTTCTTCGCGAAAATGCTTCACCTAACGTAATTAGGAACTGTTGACGCAGTGGGAAGGGTGAGTGGATCTTTCCCGATTTTCTTCTGTGTAAGTGAGACAGGTTGGTTCTGGTCCTGTGTTGACTGTGGGCTTATGGACAGTCCCGGCAATTTGCAAGGCGGCGACGCAATAAAGTGAATTTTGACCCTTGCATCCCAGGCGTCCCTGAGTTTACAAACTCATGTCGAGGTCCAAGTTGGTACCAAACTCATATGAAATTTACATCTTCAACGATGCTGAAAGGAAACACGCGAAGTATACGATGATGAGGATTAGGACGTTTTCAAGGGCAAGAGAAAATACTGGACCCTCATCGTTGCAGAATAGGACATATGGTTCCGACATCGTTATCTTAAGTAAACTGATTCCGCGGTCCGTATCATGACATATTGAAGCTCCAAGATCGCTATCTCAAAAGGCTACCCTTTCATATTACAACGTCATCCATCTGTCACGAAACTATCTGCATGCACGCATACAGAAGTTCTGTTGACTCATCGCCAGAGATAGATTCTCCCGACCTTCATGTGGTTCATTGCGCCTGCTTAAGTATAGTCTGCATGATCATTCCGATTCTTGTTCTCCGGGAAGGTGGAGGCCGGTAACTCTTTCTCCAAACCATCGTCGTCCCGACAGGTCAATCGGGGTTCACAATGGGCTGTAGGCTCATGAGGGGCTCCACTCATTCGCGACTTTCAAGAGATGTAGCTTCTCGGCCGTTCCAAGGTCCAGTAATGATGAAGTTGCTTTTTACGTTAATTTCTCTGAGGTCCCTGGTGCAGGCCCAAATGTCAACACTCGACTATCAGATTTACAAGATGGGCATGCAAGTCGTCGGTCCCATCGCGCATCTTGAACTGCCGACGTCCGTCGAATGTGCCTTTCACTGTCACATGTGAGTGGGTTGTAATTTCCGCTCTCGAATGACAAGTCGAAATCGCTTCGCATGACAGTTAAAAAAAAAATTTCCAGGAGCAAGAATCCCATCTGTTACACCTTCTCCGTCACAAAGAGCTCTGGAGGCGTCGACTGCCGGCTGAGTGGATGGAAACCTAACCTCCAGGCTGATCCTGACAGCGAGTACTTCATCCTGAAAATTGCAGGTGACGTCATAAATATATTCATTGCCTTGATTCAAACATCTCAGTGAAATATTCACTGAGTAAGGATTATTCTAGGCACTGTGAATGAGTACGGGTTGGAGTTTAATTAAGTGACCCCGTTTCTTGAATATGTTTTGCTTTTTGGAATTGCCTTTATAAGTCCGTCTAAACATATTTAGGTTAAAATACCCAATGATGTTAAATGTCATGTTATGACGTTAAGGCCCTGTGATGATGTTAAGGGCCTGTTAAGGACGTGTATTCGGTGATGGGCAACGGCGCAGGAAAATTCCAAATGCTAGGCATTTGTAACATGACCGCCTTTCAAGTGTGCATAAGCTTTCATGTTGCCAGGACGGGTCACTACACCGGTATGCGAGCTTTGGAAGATTAACTCTTGGACTTTTCATATGCTGCGGCCCATTACTGAGTCTTTTGCCTTATATGTTCGGAAAGCTATGCAATAACAGTACCAAGCAAATGGAAGAATGAGGGAAAAATTGTCTATGGCATTATGGGAGGGTATCCTTGAGAAGTTTTTTTTTCATGAACAAAAAGTTCTCATCTACCAGTTATGCCACTTTGTATGCGAACGACCGAGTGATGGTCATTTACGAATCGGCCTGAAGCCCGAATGCAAAATTTAGCAAATGTTTTAAATTTGCAAACTCCTTTCGAGAGGGTTGCATGAGAATGTTCTCGGCCAGCAACCTTCTCTTATTCATTCAGCAACCATTGAAGTGAAGCAGGTAAACAATGAAGTTCGACGCCGGGTCAGGCCATGTTTCAAATTGGGGATATCGGTTCGGGCTCGGATAAATCGACCCGTGCAGGTCTTCGGACAAAACAAACAGACATAAAGAAACTAGAGTTTATGCTCTTATTACATAGTTGATATGGCGCCCTACGCGATCCCTCTGCGTTACGGATCTGGTAACTACGCGAGTTGGTGAAAAGTTAAATTAAATCGAACTTTTTCACAGCGCCTGGTCGAGAAATTGTATTTTGGTTTCATGAAAATAAGTGCGAGTTTCACCTTTTTCGGATTTTTCTCTTTAACCATTCATCGATCTGAAATTTACGAACTCTCGAGAGGAAAACGACTTGGGCCCCAGTAAGCAGTATCCCACATTACCCAAAATGCTTGGCTCAACAATGGCCCCTTCATGGCAACGCAGGCAGATCGTCGGCATTGGCAGGCATGCTTGGGCCAAGCATGCCTGCCTTCCCATGCATTCATGGGTCCAGCTTTGGCGAGCCATTTCTCGGCACTTCATTGATGGAGGACATAGGCTGATTCATTGTTCTATGCTGCTTTGCCATTATGTGCGCGATGTTACCAAAAGACACAAGCCCAATTAAGGCTCCAGGTTGGCTTGATATTAATATCAGCTTATAATGGCTATAGGCGATATTACATCACCAACATTGTCAATTTTGGGGAAGCAATGTATCCCCTACATCCCCCTGCCATCATTGATCCCATATCGAACGGATGAGACTTTTAGATGAGGCTTAGTTATGCTTGGAAGTTTAAGAGAAATGAAATTCTCCTCTAGGCCACTAGATGGCAGCGTGGTTCCTGGTTTTTGCACAGTACCCAAATGTACCCTTTCTTCTTTCCCTATAGTCATCCTTCACAGCAGTACTTAGTATTGCAGCATATATTTCGTCATGTCTCATGAAACAATTACACAAAGCTGCTGTTTCTTCATTTCTTAAATCCATATTCGAGACAGATTCATAGAGCCCAGGAATTAAACAAGCTAATATTCCATGTAAGAGTCCTTAACTATGATTGCGTATATTTTACTGGAGCCATAGCTTCATCTATGATGTTGTCAACGAACTTAATCCATCTTCATCATCTCAAGAGGATTGAATGGGGGCTTTCGTGGTTTGATTTCGTGTACATTTCCTTGAACAACAAAGAGCATCACCACAAGTGTACCATGTTTGGTACATGTACCAAAACCCACCTTCTTCTCGATCTCATAATTTTTTCCCTTAATTCCAATGATTGCCCGGGCAATGGAAGAGTGAAGCGACGTCACTCGACGCTCCTCGCGTAATGAATCATTCTTGGACGAGGGGTCGCGCATCAGCAGGCCTCTACACACTTGTTCCTTGCCGGAGAGGGATGGGCCCCTCCATTTTCTGCAGTTCAAAAAACAAAAACTCTATCTACTTTCAGGGATTCATGATTTCCCATTAGTTCACATATACTTTCACAAACTCCCATCCACAAGCTCCTTGTCGTGAGGTATTCGTGTTTTGTGTTTTGGAAGGTCTTGAGGTGCTTCGTAGCATGTATCGCCTGCTCGGAAACGTCTTACTCACGTTTTCGCTCACGTGTAATTCATGCAATAATTAGCATCAAAGAACTAAATGAGACTAGGAATTTTCAACGCACATCCCACAATTCTTTCGCTAAGTCAGGGATCGTTGCTTTATTGGTAAAGAATTACAACCCTTCATTTGCTATCAACTGCGGAGAATCCTGCAAGAAAAGTGTATCAGTATCCATGAGTATTAAATTACCATTTTCAGATGAAGCTATATCAGGCCAAGTTTTTCTTAAAATTTTGACTACTGCGAAATGAGCCAAAAATCAGAACTTTCAGAACGGCCCTCACCATGGCAACGAATTTTGAAACGACTTCTTGGAACACCAAGGGCAACGTGCAATGTCAATCTTGAGAGGATCTCCATGAGCATTCCATACATATTTTACAAGCTGGTTCCTCTCTCTCTTATCGGCAGGAATCGTGGAGGACGATCATTTCTCATCTATGAATTTATTTACGACTTCTAGAGAAAGGAAAATTAACTTTCTTTCCTGGTACCCTAAACAATATATTTTCTGCTTCCCATTAGGCTGCGCACAGGTGCAAGGCATGTCGAGTTACATGAAGACGGGCTTCGGCTATTGTTGACAATTTCTCTCTCATATTATCTGGAAAATTGCAGAAAGATGATTTGTCACTCTCCCTGTGAAAGTTCTGAAATGTTGTTAAGTGCCTTGGATGCACAGCACCGTATGAATGTGCACCTTGAACTTCACAGGAGGCTACGAACTGGTGCCAGGCACGTCGTCGTACGTGAAGACAGTCGTCATCGCCACCAAGAACTGGAACCAGGCCGAGGCAGACTGCGAAACAGACGGAGGCCGGCTGGCCGTGGACAACAACCAGCCGATCCATGCCTACATGACCCAGATGATCTTGAGTCTCGGGATCTATTCGAACGTTGGAGCTGGAACCGGATACTTCTGGATCGGTGGGCAGAGCACGACGGACGCATATCACTGGAGACTTCTCGACGGTGAGTTTCAGCTTGATAAAGGATTAGACCAATATTGAGTTTCTCTGCAGGTAAAAGCGACTTTTTCCTTGTTGTCGCAATATTTCCCTTTTTAACAACGGCGAGTAGAAAAATTTGTTCTCATACGCTTTCCTACCAAGCGTACACAATGGTTGCAACCGGATTATGACCCCTCACGTTAAATTCCCATGGATGGTAATCTCCTTCAATATATATTTTTTCCCCGAATTCGTATTATTGCTGCGCTGTTTCTCGTTTAAAAATGAGTAAATGAGACTATTCGCCTGTCCTCAATTGCAATTAAAACGTTCTCAATAGTCTGAGCGTCCTGCAGAGCTGCAGTATCGACAACCACATTCAACCAGATGCTTTCCTACAGAATTCGTCATTCGATGATCAGATCTGAAATATCGCCACGAAGTATTTGCAAAATATCGGTGAAGATGATCGACTTGGCGATGCTCACCTTGACATGGGGATTCACTGACAATGCATTCGAGGGAAAGACAAGGAAGCTTTCATAATTCCCTGGGAATTAGGAATAAAATCACCTCTCACTAATTCGTATATAAGTAATCTGGATATCCTGGTAATTGGGGAGTGTGAAATATTCCTGGGTGAATTCCCACTGAATCAATAATTGAATGCAAACATAACACAGTTATGACCGAAATGAGTAATTCACTTAGGTCCGGGACGTTGACCGTACTCTTCTATAGAGATGACTACTGATTGAATTCACTCTGGAGAAACCAGTCCCTAGTTAATATAATTTATGCACAACACCTGTTCAATTGCATGGAACCGACATTACCATCCGCCTGATGCCCCGAGTTCAAAATGTCATGAATTTCGGCAGGCACACTCCTGAATTACACGGGGATAGGTCAAGGGCTGTTCCACCCGACCGAACCCAATCAAGGTGGAGGATGTCTGATGATCGCCGTCTACAAGGCCCCGGACACCACCTGCTGCAACGGACGCTGGGCTGATAACGTCTGCACCATAACTACCTGGAGCTCTGGATATTTCTGCGAAATTCAGGTACCGGTGTAAGTCATTCCCGAAAGGACAGATGTGACTACGCCCAGGAAACCATGGACGAAGAAGAGATTGATCACTACTCGGCATTTCAAGAGTCTCAATTTGGCGCAGTGTTTTGATGATATTCCATGTTATTTTTTTTATGTTACGTAATGTCCGTGTTTCGCATTATATAAGGTTCATGTGGTATTGTGTTGGCACAGAATATATTTCCGCACATCACAGGAATATGTATGTAAGTGCATGTAAAGTGGATGGCTTCGAGGAAACGAATATATTCACGCGTTTTTCCAGTGTTCTCGCATGATCAGATTTGTCCAATGAGTTCTGCACGATTGATGAATTGGGAATGAGTAATAAGGCGAAGGCTAGACGAGTCAGCGGAGTTGGTTTCTCTCCACGCCCATGAATCGGTTTCAGTGTGCCATGATTTCGATCTTCTTCGTGAACAGTGAACGGCTCTTGGACATCGTCTGTATGTGTTGACTCAGACACAAATAAAGCAGGGTGATCACAACTCAAAAGACAGAGTGGGATTGGAATTTTTAAATGCTTAGAGGAATGACGCACCCAAAAAACAACTTCACTATTTTTTTCCTCGTTGAGCTACAGCTCAAGGTACTCCCACCAACATGTCGCTTCTTCATACGACGCAACGTTTTAAATACCCCGTCGTAGATGAGGTATGAAGATGGGATAACGGTAGTCAGAGGATTCCATCGGCTTCGATGAGCTAATTCTAAAGGCCGTGGAGAACGCCCCACATTCGTTTAGATCATTTTCTCTGAAGAAAAGGAGTTTCCTTGGAAATTCATTTTTCTTCTTTCATATTCCATCAGTCCATCTAAGAGATATGGGTCTGGCAACATCACTCGATAAATGTTTGGGTTAACAGTCATGTGGCCTGACCATGTGGGCCGGGCGTTGGCCCTCAGGAGACAACCAACATTTTCCCTGGACCATATATTTCCTATCTTAGTTCTACAGTATATTTGTTCATGAGCAGTCAGAATCTCTTCGGTTTGGGTTGTGGCTTGCTGTGCTTGCAGTGGTCGAGATGTTCATGAGCTGCTGGAAAAAAAACATTAATAAATGACATGAACAGAAACAAAGTCCGCGTTTCCGCCTCTTCTTTGGTCTCTGCAGCGTTAGTGCATCACGGAGAATTACGTAGGATATCCATCCATCTATCCAATATTAGAATACCCTAAGGAAATTCATGGTTGATGTTGTCTCTGGCCTATGAAGCTTTTGCCTCTAAAGACATAGGCCAGGTAGCCCATCGGCCTACATCCCTTTGCTTTTCGAGATCATAGGCTTAATAGCCGATAGACCAACGAGCCTTTTCCTTTCCATGTCACAGGCTTCGCGCGTTCCGTAATTCCTCCACATGGCTGTTAAGTCTACAAGCCTGTGCCGTTCTAGGGTCTTGGTGGGATGGTTTAAACAACTCAGTTGCCTTAGCCTAAAGCTCGATGCCTACGAGGCTAGGCAAAATGACTCGCGAAAGGGCACATAAACGAGAACCTTCGAGGGCAGTATGGAAAGTATTAAGAATATGCGATTCGATGCGCCCATGGAAGAGAAGCGGCGAGGCTGCGAAGTTCTGCACTGACCAATGAGCAACCGCGAAGACGTTAATGTCCTGAGGGGAGCTGCATTAATCGTAGAGCAACAAAAGGGTCTTGACCCGAGCTTAACAGACAGTACAACAGAGCAAGCGCGTCAGCTTCGTTTCGGTGCAACGATTGTTGACATTACCGATAATGTTCATTACTGCTTAAAACATGCGATGAGGTCTATCATTTGACTACGACCCGTCTATATCCATTTGATCGTGTCGTTCCATGCTCGCCCCTTGCTTCACGATCCACCTTCTTCCACGTTCGCTTGAAAGGATTCGGCATTAAAAGATATTTCAATAATATTTCAGAACTTCCACTCGCGAAGCATCCAACATCTGGTATGAGTAGGGATGGTAACTCTATTACGAGATCGTGATTTGGCAGCTGTGGAGATGTACCTATATTTGTAACACCCTCTCCCTAGCCGCCCCCCCCCCCCCATCCCTCGTCATTTGATCTTTGACTTGTAAGAGTTCTCAGGTATGCTTATTTGAGACCTTTATTTTTTAGTTAATTTCATCATCTTTTTGCTTTCGTTATATGCTATTTTTTCCTTAATTTTCCATGTTCATATTATTTCTCTCCGATTTATTAGCGGCGAAAACAACGATTAATCCAGGGCGTAGCCCATTCCTCTCGTGAAGACTTTTCAGAGCTCAGCGAGGAAATGGATTAGGCATGGATTACCTACCATACTGAATGTGTAAGGAGGAATGCATAGATTTAGGTGAAATCCCATCGGAGAAAGAAAAGTATCCCACTGCTATAATTGGTGAATTTTTTTTTTAGCATTTTCCGTAATCGCTCGGCGAGGTCCCATGAGAGTCTGCAATGAGATGCAAAGATCCTGATGTAACACAGCTTCTCCTGGGGTAAGAACCCTTGCATTACGTAACCATTAATTCATCCGTAACCAGAAATTCATTCAGGCATGCACGAAAAGTTCAATTCTGATGTTNAACCAGAAATTCATTCAGGCATGCACGAAAAGTTCAATTCTGATGTTACAGTCATGAGAAATGTGGAACTTTGGAATAGACTCCAATTTTCGATAAGTATGGGGTTAAGGCTCCATAAATTACGCACGCCAATGGTGAATCTTCATTCCCTTCCACAAGCCAGAATAGGAACAGTGACATGGTGAAGAATACCAGTCCCGTGTACCTAGCTCTAGATACATAGGGAATTAATAAGTCCATGAAGCTTAAGTTCTGCAAACAATTTCCAAAGACAGTTCAACCTTTCACATATCTAACGATTCCAATGAAGTACGGATATGCTTAGAAAACTTCATTGATCATATCCTTGGAATTTTCAAAATAAATTTACATGTACGAAACTTGAAGATGCAGATGAAGTAAGAGAAAAGGGTACGAGACTCAAACAGTGCCTTTAGAAAGTTTCTCCTGGATATGGGGGGCGGGGAGAAGGGGAGGGGACAGAAGTAAATCCATTCCTCAGACGCACGTTCAGACTGAAAAAGGCGGGAACGTGAATGCTAGTGCCAGGCACGTCTTGGCACGTGAGTGGGGAGAAGAGGAACTGAAGAGCTAGACTCAGTGAAAACACAAGAGTTTCATTGACCATTCGTCTGCTGGCCATTTTAGTCACAATAACAGGAATTAGTCCCACTACTCGGTAAGCGGTTCACCACGAAAGGTGATTTGGTGTGGGTCATTCCATCACACCCTAGAGGAAAGTAAGTAGCTCGAGGTCGTTGGCGGGGAAGGAGGCATGCAGGAGAAACGCGGTCGACTGCTGCATGATTCTTCGACGTGGTCTCAGTCAAATCGTTCTTGGTCAAAGGAGAATCAAGACATTCGCGCATGATTTAGCTGTCATTTTTCACAGTAGTTTGGAAAGATCTGTACAAAGAAAAAAGAATAATTATCCTCATTCTTAAGATACTTTGGTTCCAAGATTCAAACTATCTAAAACTGAAAATTTATTCGCGTTGATTTTCAAATGACTCCCAAGAATTACCTTTAAACTTTGAAGGCAGTTTAAAATTGGAGGCAATGTCCATGCAAATATCCACGCTATTAATTTGTGTCTTTCCCAATAAATCAGGAATGACAGATGAGATAGGTCAGGTGCAACGGGAAGAAAGTTCCGCAATATGCATTCCGCTCTCTAATCCGTCAGAGCAACATCAATAATTATCCATCAATATTTAGAAACTCTGAGGAAGATGATGAGACCAATATAAAAAATTTTCAGGGAGAGATGTTGATGTGAGCCTCTGGAGAGACCCACCCAAATCCTGACCCGTCCGACTTCATGGGCTAGACTGGGATGTTCCCGAGGGAATGTGGGCAGAAATCATGATGCTCCTGGCGTCGGCATTTCCGAAATTTTTGGTGATTTTCCGCACAAACACCCTATGAGGCATTAGAGCCCGGTCGAATGAAGGTGGAGGCAGCAGTCCTACTAGAAACGGTTCGCTTGGCATGAAAATTCCATGGGAATATTGATATCTCTAACAAATTATAAATGCGTCCCTGCAATCCAGAAACTTGTCTCCATGGAGTAACCAGAGGACATTTCATGTATTAGGCTATGAAGGTAAAAAAAAAAAAAAAATGTCAAGTTTCAGATGCATGCCCTGGGGACATGTTTGTGGGGGTTGAAGTTTTCAAATAATTTTTTTTTGTCTTAGCAAATTGGGCTGAGATAGAAATGTGAAAGTTGGCACATATGTAACTGAGGTGTTGTTGAGTTTAGAAAAAATTCAAATTTTGTGGTGCATGCCCTCAAGGCAGAGCTTTTCGCAGGGTCGTCTATTGCAACTATATTTTTGCACCAGCAAAAAAGGGCAAATGGATAAGGCTGAAATTTGGTAGGTATGTAATTCTCCAGGCACTGATTTCAGTAGAAACTTCAATTTTTGGGTAAAACCCCTGAGTGCACATATTTTCTTGAAATTTTTTCATCCAATGAAAGAGAGAACTGAAGAAAGTTGAAACTTGGAACAGAAACCTGTTCAATTGCTGAGTGCAGATCCTACTTTTCAAATATATCCCCTCAGGGCAGATTATGAAGAGATTTGAAGTTAAGCACACAAGAAATAATTGGAGTAATTGTTTCGATAAAAAATATTGGTTCGTCCCTTCATGACACACATATCAATAGGCACATACTTTTCATATGTTTTTGCCACTTCAAAAATGAATTAAGGAATTAATTACTATCCAGGACAAAGGAGCACTGAAGGTGCGATCAGCTCGTATTCAATATGCCCCCATAGTTTTCCTAAAGTATTAATGAAAATGATTTTTCAGAAACCCTCATAACTATTCTATCTGCCCTGTGTCTAATTCCAAAATTTTTCATTGCGTGGACCTTGGATGTTTCCTTCATATTTGATGGGATTTGCCCTATCATGGTCAAGCTGACCAGACAGGACTGGCCATTTGATATTATGTAAAAGACTGTTGCTAAGGCACTGGAGACCAATTCCATTGACATTTTTTGGGAAACTCCCTACCTATATTGGATGTGACACCAGGTGACCTAGATGTTCCCAACAAGAGTACAATGTTGCAGGCAGTGGTGTAGCCAGGATTTCCCCAATGATGGACTTATGTCTCCTTGCCAAAAAGGGGAGTGGGAGTGGTGGATGCATTTTGACCAGAGTTGGGGGGCATGAAGGCATCACTATGCCACTGGATGCAGGCTGGAAGCCATATGAGGAATCATCAGGAAATTTAGAGGATGTCACATCCAACATATTTAAGTTTCATTTAAATTTCATTTCATTTAAATGGTCATTTAGAACCCCAGTAACAACCTTTTTCTGTATGATGTCAAATGAGCTAGCATGGCTCCAATGAAAGTGGAGTTGGACAATTCCTTGGACTTGTATGGCAGAAGCATCCAGGTTTTGCACACTGACACACTCATGAATTTGACATCATGCTGAAAAAGTGCTGCTAAATGGAATCTGAAAAACCAAATTCATTGATTTTTTTGTGAAATTGCCTTTAAATGTTGAATGCAGCACCCTCCATAGTTTCTTAGTATTCAGTCTGCAGGCATACTGTGTTGGAATCTGTTTTTTTTTTTGTCACCCAGTATCAATGTAAAACTTCTGCTGTGGCACTTTTCACCATGTCAAAGGCATAAGCTGCAGTTTAGCTGGAAATGCAGTTGATATGCATTTTCTTAGGTAGCAATGCAGGATGGATTCTTCTTGCCATAGTAGCAAAGGAATGTAAATGAAAGCCAACTACAATGAATACACCTGCTGCTTCTTGATGCACATGAGAATGATGAGAAGGCTTGATATTGGCAACTGCAAAGAAATACAAACTTTAGGAAGCTAAAGCTTGAGACTTGACTAATGTAAGTTCAGATTCAGGTTTGCAGGAATGAAAATTCAATGGCTCTAGTTTTAATGGCTTTCAGATTCATGTGGATAATGGGAGTAAGCCTGGTTTTGTCCCTCAAGAGTCAGCTGATGAAGTCCTTCTCCAGGAAGCAGATTTTCATTCGGATCTTGCAACGATCGACCATCCTCTTCTTCCTTGACCTCATACTCAATGCAAGGTAAACCCACTTTTGAGGACATTTTTTTTATTGATATAAAAATCCCTAAATATTCAAAGAACCTCAGAGAGAAGGATCCAATTCCAGGTTGACAAACAGCCTGACAGACATGAGGTTGCTGAGGATCCCAGGTGTGCTGCAGTGCTTCTCCATCGTGTATTTCCTGGTGGCAACTCAGGAACTCTTTTTATTCAAGCTGCCTGATGTTTCTCTGCAAGGATTGGCAAGACTGGGGAGGAACTGCTGTCACATCATTCGAGGGCTCTTTTTTGCTGTATGCATCACATCACACCTCCTCATCACCTTCCATCTCCCTGTTCCCAGCTGTCCCAGGTGGGCTTCATGAGACCAAACTATGTTATAGAGAATAATGTAGTGCATTTAAAACCTGAACTCAAAAGGTGAAATTTTCACTGCAAGAGGTGTGATTGCCACAAACTCCATTTGACACTCCATGGAGTTGAAAAGTTTAGACTAGTTATATGTGTGATATGAAATCAAAATCACGTGATGTTCTCAAAGTTAATCAAATGTATGTGGTTTTTGGTATTTGGTGTCTTCAAATTGTCTTCCATCATTCAGAGCAGTGCTTTGCAACTGGTGTGCTGCAGTATTTTCAGAATTATAGGTAAAGAAAGAACATCACTGTGTTTTATCCTCTTGAAGCTACGACCGATGATCATCGGTCGAATAGACTACTGGATGATAAAAATATTATTCACATTGACATTGTGAAATTTGGTTTGGTACAAGGATTGAGCAAGCTCGAAAGTGTGCTGTGAACTAAAAAAGGTTGAGAAGCACTGATTCAGAAAATACCTGTCAAAGTAACCTTCATAGGTCTGTGAAACAAAATATAAATATAGTGGTTGTAACTACCTTGTCACTTGGCAGATTTTGACAACTTGAGGAGGTAGTTGTTTCTTATCATCATGTAATCATTCCATAGAGAGCAGGGAAACCGAGAACTGATGATTGCGATACTCTGTTGACTTGGTATCAGGCATATTCAGTTTTTTTTTATTTTTTTAGTTGTCACAATAAGCAGACATTTGGTCAACCAATAGTCAACTAATCCTGGCTATTAACATAATCAAGGAAGACATAATGATTGGGCTGTATTAACTTAGCCTCGAAACCAACTCATGAAAATGAAGTGAAAACATTGGTGAAATAGAGGAATTTATTTATTGCACAGCAAAATGATACATTTGTGAATATTTATTCAGAGGTTACCTGGGACCTGGTGGGATGCATGATGGCAGGTGATTCTGGAATTGTACAGGAGGAGCCATCAGATATGTGGATCAACTTGTGTTTGGGGAGTCCCACATCTATCAGCATGCCACCCCCAAAAGCCTCTATAACACCAACATCCCCTTTGACCCTGAAGGTATGCAGGCCCAAAGTAAAAAATATGCTAGGTTTCCTTCCAAAGGAAAAAGGAAAGAAAAGTTTATTTAAGGACAATATTGGTCCATGAGAGGTGCAGGTAATCAGAGTTGTAGGTTTAGATGTGGAGAGATGATGGAGGAACTCTACTCTTTCCTTGTACAGGTCTGGTGGGGACATTGAATTCAATCGTTTTAGTCTACTTGGGAGTGGTGGCAGGACTCATTGTGGTCACACATCCTGTTGCAAGGCTACGCATCCTTATGTGGCTCATCATTGGTTTCCTCACTGTAAGCATTATTTAATGCATCCTTTTCCATCAATCCCTTCATGTTTGTATGCTGGTGTTACAAAAACAATTAATGCAATGCTTTACTACTTGCATTTGCAATTACAGTTTATTCATCTGCTTTATGGTTTCTTTCAAGACGATTAAATTGTTTGGTAAATATGTGGGAAGTTGAACACTTCACTGGGTCCTGTTCATTCTGCATGTAAAGATGCAGATATGAAACAGTTTTTTCTTATATTGCTTATACTAAACCCCAGGAAGTTCTTGAGTAGGAGGAAGCTGCAAAAGATTTACAATGTCTTCTACATATCCAAGCCTATGGTTTCATTTCAAAGGTTCTCCCTCCAAGGGACTATTGGTCCCTTCACAGAAAAAAGGTTCAAAGTGCAACTTGAGCCTGTTCATTGTTGACAGGGAATGGTGGGTCTAGGCCTCTGTGAAGCATCACAAAATGGTGGCATGATTCCCCTGAACAAAAACCTCTGGTCACTTTCTTACACACTGGTTACTCCAGGAACATCTTTCTTCATCCTTGCACTCCTCCACTGGATCGTTGACATCCAGCAGTGGTGGCGTGGTGCACCCTTCTCTCATGTCGGTGAGTTCAGCATCAGATTTGTATGCCGGTTCATGCAGTACGTAAAAAGGCTCTAGTCAGCCTCGTTTGCAAACCTTGTATGTTCATTTGGTCTCTGGCTTGAATTCATAGCCCCTGGAATTATGAGACAAGTGTACTCTGTATGTAAAAAAATGTTCATGCTCACTGAATGTACAGACATTAATGCAAATGAAAATCTCTGACATGGCAGGATGAAAATGTAGGAGTTGCTTGGTATGGGTTGCTCAGTTTCTGTCAGAATTTGAATCAAAAGGTTTGTACATGAGGCTATCTTTGTTAAGTATTAGGTTGTGTCTTCTATTGTCAGGGATGAACGCGATTCTCCTCTATGTGGGGCATGAGCTGCTGGAAAAGACCTTCCCGGTCCAGTTCAGTCCATTGCCTGAGAGTCACCTCGCTTGCCTCTTTATGAACCTCTGGGGAATGATCTTTTGGATCCTTGTTGCCGTCTGGCTTCATTCGCATCGATTCTTCCTCGCACTCTGACTTCTTTGGGATGTATACCAAAGATTGGATCTGTTTATTTCCTCTGTGATATTTTCCCCACCTGACTCCATTCCTGTCCTGCATTATATTTAAAAGTCTTTGCTTATTTCTCAGTTGATTCCTTCTCAATCATTCTTTGTCGTGATGTTTGCAATGAATATGTATTTGAAAGAGTTACAAAGTGCAGTATTTTAACCAGTGGAGGAAATACCAGACGTGAGAACAAGCAGACATCAATGGCATGCAAAGTTTTCTCACTGTACTCATAATTAATTAAATGTGCTTCAAGATGATGATTCACATGGGCAGAATGTCCCTAAGGGCCCAGAGGGATGGAACTATGTCACATTCAAGCAGACACGTGGCAATACACCTTTCCCTCACTTTACAAGGGTTCTTTTTACATGGATTTGCACTTGCATGTTTTTTTTTTACTACCAAAAATTTGGAAAGTGTAGTTCACAGATATACGGTTTGAGTGGGAGCTGGCTTGAGTGGGCATGGTGCGTGTACACCAAGTCGTCTCAGACTTGGCATGTTGTGTTCTCAGTCACAAGTGAACTCTCACATGCTCACTCTTTTGTTGTGTTTGTGTCCTAAAGGAGTATATGAGCATGAATATGGGAAAAAGTCTTTGGGCACTTATACCCCTTTTCTTGTGAACTCATGATGAAAGACTACACAAGAAGATGACAGTGAGCTAGGACAGGTGACAAGTGCTATATAGTTGTTCATATTGATGAGTACCTCACAAGGACTTCATATGGGAGGAAAAAACCAGAGTGTTTGTTGACATCACCTAGATCCATGAACCTCCTATCATGAGATGTAATATCTGCAGATTTCTTCCAAGAACTTCATATATCACAAATTTCCCTCATATCAAGCATGAATTCAGTCCCTTGTGGCTGAACGATTCATCTACATCACTTGAAGGTTCTGTGGAGTCCTCCACAAGCCCTGCAGGGAATGACGTAATTATGGAGGGGAAAACCTCCTCCCTCCTACGCTCAAGTAAGAGCCTATGTCCCACTTTCCCCATGCACTTCCTCGGGAGTGAGTTGAGGAGAGTCGTCGTGAGTGGAGCACAGATGGCACGCGTGAAGCCGTGCCAAGCCCGCATGCATCTACTGCATAGGACAGTGCAGACTTAAGGAACCGTGGTGACAGTAGTCCCCCCACCAGACAACTAGGACGAGGACCACCCTGAGTATCCCAATCAGCATGAGGCTGTTCTTTGTTACTAACCTCATTCACGTACCCCTGCTGTTTTCCAGGGCTGCCCACAGGTTTCCTGGGGCCTGGGGCAAAACTAAACTGGAGACCCCTTGGGGGCCTCCTTGGGGCCCTTTGGAGGCCCCCCTTGGGACCCCTTGATACGAGGGGCCCAGGGTAGATTGCTGCAATTGCCTCCCCCCTCTGGGCAGCCCTGCTGTTTTCTTGTATAATAAACTGTACATAGTGTCCAATTATGCACCATTTTATATAAACCCGGAGTCCTAAGTAATTCAAAGGAGTCTACACCTTGGAGTCAGTTGATAACTATTAGACGGGTTTTCTGCTGCCGATCACAGAGGTCTCTCTTACAAACCTCTCCGAACATCACAACCTTCTGGATACTTTTCCTGATACCTTCCCAATTACCTTCTGACTACCCTTGCACCTCGGATTCGGACCACCCTATGACCACACAGTCCCCTACAGTTCCTATGTCATGGTACCACCCTCTTCCATCATGTATAATGGAATGAGTATACCATAGTTGGAGAAGGAAGAGAAGAAAAAATGAGGTTGAATTCCAAAAGAGTAAGACTAAAATTGACATCTGCATTGATCATTAAAATGTTACCACTATGACTGCCATAAGACAATAATTCTTTTTTCTGAAGGAATCAAACTAAGATTGACAAGTTGGACAGAAAACAAGGTGTAGCTTATTTAGGCATATTCCTAGCTGTGCCAAGTGTCTCATACCTTGAGACTTTTGCCATTGTGACATGTCACATGGACTTACCAAATTCTGAAAGTCAAGTATTTGTTTTGTTGGTGAGAGCTGATACAAACAGTAGAATCAGTGCCCAAATTCAAAGGAGATGTTACTCTTGAAAAGTGCAGCTGAATGCGAGTCCGGGAATCTTTTGGGCATATTTTGTTGCAAGTGGTTCTTGATAGTGATCCTTGCAGCTGTATGATTCACTGCTGAACTACTCCAGGAATTTGTATCTTGACTCAGTTGATATGATTCAGTTATAATTTGTGTATATGCAAGTCAGTGGCAGACAAGCTTATTCAAACAGCTTGAGCACTCCCCTCTGCCTCCACCTCTGTTGCAATTGCAGGAAGCCAATCAGTTATTTTATAGTTTTTGATGTTCTGTCTTATTGTCCGAATAAACTTCTTCATTTAATGCCTCTTTTTGTGTGTACTTTTGAAATCTGGCTTTAAATATTTTTCCGAAGCCATTGTTAAGAAATGGCAATTGTGGTGCTGCCTCTCTGATGACTGCATCAACCAATGGGGAGAGGCAAAAAGGTGCTGTGCCAGTATGTAGAGGAAGTGGGAGGTGATTCCTCCCTTTAAAAATTAAGAGGGTGTTGTTTATGCCCATGGTGGCAACTGATCAAAATTTGCTGATTGATTAATTATCACAAGACTTTGTTAAACTTATCTTTTAAGTACATTTTCTATCTGAATTTATTACTTTACTGAACGTCATGGGTTTTACTTCATAATTTAGAACAATAACTTTAACCTCGACCAGTATAACCTTTCCCCATATCAGTTCAAGGCTCTTAAAGGAGCAGTTAATGTGGAGTCATAGTTAGTAAACTGAACTCAGAAGTTCATCAAATTTGAATTTGAGTCACACATTTTAGTGGAAAGTGAAGTCTTATATAATCTTTTCCTGAATCTCTGTAGGTAGCCCCAAGATTTAATTTGAAATATAAAAATTCCATATCAAATTGTATTGTTGACATTTGAGATTTGGTAACTCAGGGTCACCAAATGGTATTACTCCTGGTTGTATCTTTGAGTTAGTTCTTAGTTCCTCTTACAGAGGACAATGAAATTATAATGTTGCATGCTGTAGACTGCCAAGAGAAATACCCAGATGTAAAATGATGCCATTTACTTGAGAAGTTTGAAGAAGAAGAAAAGATCTGTGGAAGAAAAAGAGGTAGGAAAATCCTGGACATTTTGTCCATAAAGAAGACATGAACAGCAATATGGAGTAAATTTAATATACTCATTTGGACTTGGAAGGATTATTTACCAATAGGAGAAATAAGAGAAGATCCAGATGAAGGATAATATCTTAATCTTAAAATGTTAATACCTGTCATACAATTCTGTGTGTGCCAACTGGAATGACTGGTTGCAGAGAGTTATTAATGTATAATTGATAGCTCATAAAAGAAGCTTGATATGCAGATTCTGATCACTGAAAAGAATTATGTGAGGTGATATGTCTGGACCACATTAAAAAATCCTGTCACTTCATCAACTTCATAATCTTTGCTTTTCTAATAAGAAATCCCACAAGCATGAATCTCAACATGAGATTAACTGTATATATTTTTCTGGAATTTCATGCCATTTTTTTTACTTTTCCTTTTCACACATCTGCTTGCTAACTTCAGCTGTGATACTGATGGAGACGATGTTGATCCAAAGAAGTTTCATAAACATGACATAGCTTGCTACCTTCAAGAAGCAAAAAATACTGAAATATCAGCCTAAAAGATCTATCTTGATTGCATGATTAACCAGCTCTTCAGAGTTAATATTGGAGCCCTCACTTTCCTATATAGCTAGAACTTCATCTTCTCTGAAGATAATTGCCTCGTCCTCTCAGTTTAACCTTGGATGATAGACACATCTTATACCCCACAGTATCACAAACTACTTCTCCTTCGGTGACGGTGACAAGGGTAAAGAACCGACTGTCTACTTTTACAACCGGTTCCCGTTTTTTAACTTGTTCGCTGATACAGCAATCCTTGAAGTCTGGTCCTTGGCCACAGTTTCCCTGCAGAGTGCTTCAAATCTCAGGTGACTATACCTATTTATAACAAAAATAGGGATGTTCAGCATTTTTCCAGCAATAATATAGAATTTTTTCACTGCTATCTTCATTGATGCAGGTGCTTATGAAAAGCAAGAAAGGTATTTCAAAAAAAGCTGAGAATAATTCTGATCTAGACTGGCCCTCCAAATTGGAGTTGGATAATGGAGAGATCCAAGAATCCACTCAAACCCCAAAGTAGACAGTCTTATTGAATAATGAAGATGATGATGAATCTTTGCATAGTTTTGAAGTATCATTATCGCCTTGGAGGAGGCAGTCATTGAGTTCCATCCTCTGTTTCCATCTTCTGCTACTCATCAGCAACCTTCTCCACCTCTTCATCCATTTCATGCAACCATGCAACTGTGCTCTTCATGTCTTCAACATTCATTTTGCCAGCCACACATCAGTTCTGACCATCAGTCATCTTGCCATTTTATATCTGTGCTTCACCAACAAGATTTCAACCTCTGTGATATATTTTGTTTGAATTTGAAATTTTATGCAGGACTTTTTTCTTTGCAGTTACTTTGACCTGTTTGCATCACCATCAGTGATATATGGAGGTACTTAGCAGAACTGCTAATTTCACTTAAAAAAAATAGTGTATGTTAATCTTAAAAAAAATGAGAATGCCTAATATGTGGGAGAGAGCCTGAATGAATAAAAAATGGAATCCTCTTCTATCTATTTCATATCTATTGTTGCAGCATGCACCTAGAGTTGGTCAGCATCTGTGGTGTCATGATACAGATGCTTTCTGATTATGGTGCTCTTTTTTTGTCAAGTTTTGATAGGAATTTCAGAGCACATTAATTTAGTTCAATTTTGAATGCACAGCAAACTGGAGTGAGACTCATTGGCTCCAGAATTTGGTTGTGGCTCCATCGATGAATCCTAAACATTTTTCGCCAAATGTCATGCAGGTTGCCATGGAACAGTTGGAGAAATTTAATTCTCAAACTTGAGTTCTCATATGACAGATGCTGCAGATATCAGATTGACAATCACACATCTATGTTTTGCAGGGATTTTGCAGTAGTTGCAAAACTTCTCA